GAGAGTTTTTGATATCTTAACTGCTTTTTTCACCATCATTGTCATTGTTTTTTTGTTAAAAAAAACATTAACTGATAGAATTTTTGCTGTCATCCAATTGTGATCTGATAATTACTTGGCATTGCTCTCTCGACAACTACTTTTTCTTTGCTGTAGAGATTCCAAGAGCTACTATCACTTTATTGGCAGTAGAAAAAAAAGTGATATAAAATAATGAATTGTGTTATGTGACCCAATAAAGTTCTATAATAATTTTAATAGGTAAATGAAATTTTTTTTTTATCTTGGCATTGAAATGCATTTTTACAAGTTTTATTGGAGCTGTGTAAGCATGTCTTTTACCTTCATTTGTATTTCAATGATTTGGTATCAAATGTCTGTATACAACAGTTAGTTAAGGCATTAAAATCAAATCATTCTTTTTGGGTAAACTTTCCTGCTTCATAGCAACAAATAAACTCCTTAAATGACATTGAGAAGATCCGGATAGGGTTTATTCAGTTATTTTTTTCACCAGCAGTTAAAGATAACATTTCCCCCCCCCCCCCCTTTTTTAAACAAGATTTTTTTATTGAAGAGTTTGAATTAATTGTTGAATTTATTTTTACTAGCTTCCAAGCTTACTTTTTTTATTTTTTTTAATATTGCTTTGAATCATTTAAACTTTTTTGTTGTTAAGATACTTAGAAACAAAATTTTGTTTACTTTATCCAAGTGTTTCTGTTCTCTTATTTTTGCCAACACATTAGATTGCACATTATTTAACACATTCTGTTGTTCATACAAAAATTGATGGTGATTATACTGTTCCCGAAAAAAATAATAAATTTCATAACCAAAATTAATTTGTAAAAGAAATGACAGAAACATAAAGAAACCAAAAATAATTTTTTTTATAACACACATGCAAAAAAATTTTATACCAAATATTCAATATATAGGCTATTCAAAAGATGAAAAATATGTGACAATTACATATTGTCACATTTAAATGGAAACCACTTACTTTTAAGTTTAACATCTTTTGCGATGACTCCCAAGGTGTTTCTGGTCTATAAATATAGATTTTATTAGTATATACTTATTTTTTTATTTAAAAAGTATGTATTTTTTATGTAAATGTAATTTTGTGTATGTTTTTTATCAATTTAATTTGTAAACAAAATTTTATTACAAAAAAATTGCTTTAAATGTTAATTAAAGTTAAAAAGCCCCACTAAACATCATCAGCGATATTGTGAAGCAGTTTTGCTTCCTTGTCATAAAGTGTTTTTAACCTTTTTAGTTAATTTCTATCTAGTTAATTTAATTTCTATAGTAATTCAAAGATTTAATTATTTCATTTGTTTATCTTACTAAGAAGAATTGTTTCAAATATGTTAAACTTTTCAAACTACGCGAAACATAAAATAGGTATTAAAAAAAATTAACTTTTTTATTTATAAAATAATTTAGTTTAGATAAAACAAAAACTTGCAAACTTTGATAAATAAAGAACATTTGTTTCCTTTATAAACAGTCGTAGGATGTTACTTATTATAAAAAACGTTGCTTAATTTTATAAAAAAATTATAAAAGAGCGATGTTTCGAAAATATTTGTTCTAAACGTAGTTTATTTTGCTTTAAGTTTTTTGCATTAAAAGATTTTTTATTTTCCTTTTTTTTTTTTTTTTTTTTTGTAATTGTCTCTCATTGGTCCAATTAATCTTTTGCACTTTTTTTTTTTTGGTTTTTGAAATGTTCTCAAAACGACTAAAAAATCTGGCCAGTTTTTTGCAACTAAATATTATTTCCATGGTCAGCAATCAAGAGCGATTGTTCCCGCTTCCTGACCAAGCCTGATCTATTAAAAAGTGGAAATAATTTTAAGATGTCCTACTGAGGCCTAAATTGTTTTCAACCTATTATAGTCCTTTTTTAATTCGACCAATTTATGGCGTTTTCATTTTTGACCAACTTTTTTCTCAACCAATTTTATTTTGAACTGGTTATAAGTGATATTCATTTCAACCTATTAGTCTGTGTTTTTACCATTTCCAATCCTCCTCCCTGCATCCCACCTTGTATTAGGGACTAGAGAGTAATACATAAAAAAAGAGGTCAGATATGCAACATTGCTCTACAATAAGACTGTTAGGTCACCTTGGAGAATAAAGCATCGCCATTTACATCAAATGTTAGAAAATTATTTTTTTTTCTTTTTCTTCTAAATATCAAGGTGCTTCAACAAGACTTAACAATTTTTTCGTAGAGCTTCGCGGAAGAGCATTTAAGGAGAAATTTGATGCCACCTTACATACCTAGACCAGGCATTAAATCTTTAGCATTTCAATTATAAGCCAGCACTCCAGCCACTGCACCATGGTTGATTAAATTCAGCTCTGATTCAAATCAACAACAAAAAAATAAAATACATACCGGAAAAGACATAGTTATAAAGTCGATCGAAAAAACATCAGGTCAAAAATACAGTAGGTTGAAAAACAGTAGGTTAAAATTTCAGTAGGTTGAGAATTCAGTAAGTTGAAAGTAAGTTGTAGGTTGAAAATCAAAATTGTTATATTTTATGATTTTAGAAATTTCAAAATTAGGTCAAGTTATAGGCCACCCAAAAAGTTAGGTTCACGTACATTTAAAAATTTGAAATGTTGATGAATCTTGTAACTTTTCAACTAATATTTGTGCACATTCAAGGTAAATGTTGTTTGTGGTCGTAGATGAGGTACAAACTCGCTTATCTTTAATTGTGTTACTGAGCTATTAGGTGAAGAGACAGTAACAAAAAATTAAAAAATAATAAATAAAAATGGGTACTCTTGTTTACAGATTGGTTGGTTGATTTTTTTATTACTTCAAATAATCCGCATAACTACTGAGATTATAACTAAATGAAAATACTATAGTACAACTTTATAATATATTTCCTAGTAATCTCTATATATTGATCTAAAAATAAATTTGAGGATGAAGTAGATAAGGCTGCCATAACCTATAGGTTATACAGAGAAACCTGTTGCATCATTTTAATACTACTACTACTAATAAATATGGTAGAGCCAGAGTGGAAAATAACAGCCGGTCAACAGTCAATGACCGCCTGAAATGACTAAAGATGCTATTTTGACCTCTCAATATGAATTCTTGCTGGTCATGGTTGACCAATTGAAAAAAAAATCAGTGATCTAAAAAGTTTGACAAATAATAAGGATGTTATTTGGAAAATGCACATACTAAAATGTTATAAAATTATTTAAATTTTCAAAAAGTTTTTAAACTAGTTTTCTTGTTTATGATATGCTACTTTAAATGCTAGCGAGTCGTTAAAGCAAAAAGTTAAAGCGAAAGGAAGTTAAAGCGAATTTTTTCTTTAATCCTTTCACTTTTCTGGTTTTTATCTTTGTCTTAAAAATGTTCCAATAAATTTACTTTATATTAATAAATTTGATAACTAAAAATTATAAATATATTAATAATTTATATCAATGTAATTCAATAATTAAAAATTAATAAATTAATAATAATTTTATATGATTAATTCTGTTACTTATATTATATTCAATTATATGTTAAATTTATTGTTGTTAAAACGTTATCTATTAATTATTGAATATTAATAGAAACCAGTAATTTTTCTGCTTTAACAATCCAAAACTCATTCGTTCATTTTGTTGACAAATGTATTGCATGTAACATACATAACATTTAAGTTACGATGTAACGTACGTAACGACGAAAAATATAACCATTAAGTTTTTTGCTTCACTTATTTAAATTAATTTTATTTTACCGATGTTAAAAATCCTTTTTCGTTAAATGATTGAAGTTCTTATTTTATTACTATTTTAATATAAAAAATTTTATATAATATGATAATATATAATAAATTGTGTATTTAACTATGAAAAGGTTTTCTTTCATCTGCATTTAGTCAATTTGTTTAATTTTTCTCTAAATTTTTTTATTTATTTTCTTGTAAGTTTTGCAAATAAATGTTTAATATAGATAAATTAAAAATTACTAATTAAGCGCTTGCCTTTTTTTTTTTTTATAACAGGATTATTAAAAACATATATATTTATTAAAAATCTTGTTTTATGTAAATTTAATAATTTTTATAGTGTTAAATAATTTTTATAGTGTTTCATTAAACAAGTTGTTTAAAATTTAATTTTAAGATTTAATTTTAAAAATTTAATTTTTTAAATTTGTTTCATTAAACAAGTACTATGAAGACGAATGTTTAAAACAATTTAAAGTATTCATTTTAAATATTAAGTATCTGCAAACAAGAGTTAGTAACATCATCAACTAATTATCAGCGGCTTTGGAAATGATTTTAATGAGCAAGAGATATAAATTGTGCGAAAGTTTTTCTTCTTTAATTTCAGATATTTATTTCATTATTATTCGAAATTATTATATGTAATTAAGAACATAATCTCAAATGTTTTTTTTTTTTTCATTTAATCTTTTCGATATAATTTTCAAATTGACCGCTTACCTTCAATTCCTTATTCTCTACACTGCATTGAGCGTTTGCTTTGTAAATAAGAATTTTTAAATTTGATCCCCAACATATCCCTGCTAGTATAGCACTTAACTTGTTTCTCTACATAGCAGCCTTGTTTGTCAAGGCTTGTATTTCTGAGTTAAAGTGTTGAGAAAAAATTGTGACAGCAGAACAAAAAAGATTTTAAAAATTGAGTAGCTTCCTTAATTGTACCTCACAGCCTTTGAGAGGCTTTGCTTTTATCCAGTATTAGAGAGGCAAATACCTTGACTACTGTATCATGCTTCTTAACTCTACCAGCCTCCTTGACTGTACCTCCTTGACTGTACCAGCTTTTTCTAAAGTTCACTATAAGTAATTTTTAGTAATATTACTTAGAATATTGGGAATAAACTTAATGTTAGGAATTATTTAAATTTATAATATACAAAGCGTATATTTAATAAACAATGCGTAGCAAGATTTTTTTATAAATATATATTTTTTTAGGTAAAAACAACAGTCGAAGCGCCAAGTGAAACTTTTGAAAATCAGCTAGAAGAAGATAACAGTGATGTGGAAGCTGAGCAACTTTTTTTTAGAAACTTTAAAACTAAAATTAATGAACATTACACATTTGTTGATTTTTATGCTCCATGGTAATTTAAATTTTATATTCATTTTTATTAAAAAAAAAATTTTTTTTTGTTTGTATTATTATTAATAAAAACAATTCTTTTTTTTTAAATTAGTATGTTACCAAAAGGGATAGCTTTATAAAACGCTCTTTATTTAATAATAAAAAAATATATATATATAACATGTTACTATATTAAATAATGATTTTAAAATTTAAAAACATGTTTAAAAACATAAAAAAGATAAATTTTTTATAAAAGCAAACTCAGTAAGCGCAAGACATACTCAAAACATGTAAAAAAATATATTAATTCACTTTAATACATTATTTAGAGGTATTAAATACCCCTTTTTTTTATTTTGTTAAACAACTGGCTAGGTTATGATTTTTGGTAGCAATATGAAATGGTGTTTAAATAAGAGTAAATAAGTTTATTTTTAAAATATTCTGGCATTATAAGTTTTGACAACTTTTTTTCTGTGTATGTAATTGCCTATGTGTGAGTTTTATAACTGACTTTTTTATTAGCTAAGTTAACAAATATTTCTCAAAACTTATAAACGATTTATAGATTTTTTAGATGTTTAGTATTAAAAAAGATATATTAGCACCCATGGCTAACACTATTACTCATGCAAGGTGAGGGAGGAGGTGTTAATCTCATTGACAGAGTATGCACTGTCTAGGTTCCACAAATCATTTTTAATAAGGGCCTAAATGTAGTAGGAGGATGATGTGGTAGGTGGTAGAACTTTTAATTTACAATCAAGAAGTTTAAATTTAACCTAGTTTTGTGTTTTGGAGAATTGAATGAAGAGAAAGTTTCAAAAAAAAAAAAAGAGCAGCTTTTTGACAGTTGTGGGCCCTGTTACCTAAGGGAGGTGAATTTTATAAGATAAATAAAAGATATAGATTTAATGTTACCATTCTAAGAATGATCTCTAAAATATCTTAAGCATTTTGTAATGAGATAAAAGAAATAGACACAGTAGAGTTTTATACACAATATCGTAAGCATTTTGTAATAGAATTAAAAAAATTGTTGTTTAAAACTATACATTAGAAAAAAAAATTGCAAAACTATACATTAGCAAACAAAAAATTAGATATAAAAAGTAATTTTAATTTAAATAAAATATAATTTTATGAAAAGATAACTTTAAGCATTCATATGTTTTTTTTGGCCTCAGTCTGAAAAAATTTCTTTTTTTTTTTGAAATGAGGTTGCAAAAAGGTTTTTTGTTGGACTTTTTATTTTCACCTCCCGAAGGCCGAGAAGGCTACTACAGATGAGCAGGCTACATAGTTGTGGTTATAACACTCTCTCAACTCTATAACTCCAAAACACAAACCTTGACAAACAAGACCACTGCGCAAAGAAACAAGTTGAACATGGTATTACCAGGATGGATGTGGTGCGGATCGAACTCTGAACCTCTTGTTTATGAAGCTCTACTATTATACCACTACCGCTTTTGAATTTGTAAATAAAAAAAATAGTAATTAAAATAAAATCGTAAATAAATAAAATAATAAATAAAATAGTAAATAAAATCTGTTTTTAGCAAAGAAAATTCATTGATTTTGATAAAAGTTCGATTTCTGTTAGAACGTTAACTACAATAGTTAACAATACTTAACTAAAATTTTTTCATAAACAAAGATAAAAACATAAACAAGATTAAAAGAAACTTTAAATATTATGACAAGGTAACAGTTTTATTGTAATGCAAATGTCACTACTTATACAAAATAATTTTTATATGTAAAATATGTACAATATTTTTAACAAGAAATATACTATTATACTTCTTTTATGAGAATAAATTTTAAAACAGTAGGGTTAGGGCGATAATAGTTACACAATTTGAAAAAATTTAAATAGTTTAAAAAGGCTTTAAGAGGATTACAAAATCTATAGCAAAGTTAAATGTAAGGTAGTAAGTCGTTTTATGAAAAATTATAAGTGACTTACAAAGTTAAATATGTAAAAGAAAGTAAGAAAAGAATTAAAATTTTACATAAAAAAAATTATTGCTGCATCAAATTTTTTAACAAAGTGATACTTAACTAATATTTTAAAAATATATTTAAAAAGTTTGTTTTCTCAGGTGTTCACATTGTATAGCCTTGCAGCCTGTATGGAATCAATTAGCTACCAGATTCAAACATAATAAAATAGTCAAAATAGCAAAGGTGAAATTTATTATTTTAATAAAGTTTGTTACAATTTTATTGTTGCTGTTTTGAAGACATAGTTTTCCTTTTTTTTTTATTCTTGTTCTTTCTTTTATCTACTTGTCCACTTGGAACTTTTAGTTTCTTTGATCTTGAAAATTGCAATTGTTTCTATAACATGTTTAATAGTATTTCTATCTTTAAGATCCTCAATACATTTTTTTTCTAAATTTTATTTTTTATATATTTAATTTTATTATTTCTTACTTTTTTCATCATATTTACATGTTGTTTGTATTATTTAATCTTGTCGATTGTGTTAAAAATTGCTTTTGCAGGTTGATTGTACAACAGAAAAAGTAATTTGTAAAGAACAAAATATACAAGCATATCCATCATTGCATTTGTACAAAGATGGAGTATTGGTGAGTTTTATCAAATTTGATAAAAGTTAAACAGATTTTAAAGTATAATAACTTAAATATATGAATATGCACTAGGGTGGTTCAAAAAACAACATTATTGAAAAATATCTGCAGCTCACACCTTAATTTAAATAATCAAAAAATTTAATTAATCAAAAAAAAAAAATAATAAGTAGCCTCCTCGAATGTAGTGGCCCCCTCGGGCCTTGGGAAAGTGAATAATTTAAAAATTAATTATAATCTCAAAAAATTTGTAAAAACGCATATTTTTTATTTTTAGTTGAAAAATGTCATTTTCTAGACAAATAAATCTAGAATAAAATATTTTATATAAAATCATGGTTATTATGAAAATTTTAGTATAATTTCGCTTCATTTAAGATCCAACAAGATATACTTTTGAAACAAAAATTTCTTACTAATATTAGGGACCCATTAAATGTTTAAGGGTCTTAAGGCTTTAAAATTTATTAATTTACTTTTAAATTTAGTGTTATTTTATTACATTAAATATATTGAGGTAAGAGTGACATATTTTTCCAAAATACTGTTGTTTAAACCACCCTACATACACACACACGCCCTGCTGCTCGTCCATGATTTTAACTAACTTTAATTTTAGCCATTAGTTCAAAATATATACATTTATCTGGTCTATAGTAAAAGAAGAAACAGTTTTGTTAAAGTTATAAAGCTGTTATTAACTTCAACTATCTACAATACATTTTAAAGCTATTATAAACCTGCAATATGTAATAGAACTACACTTCTTCTTATTTTAAATCCGATTGGAGCGATTGCTAAGTGAATCAAAAGAAGTAAAATATTTTTACAATAAATGTTAAAAAATCTGTGTACAAACCAACAAATAAAATTAAAATAAACAGAAATAAAAGTATTGTAAAAGTCTATATCTAAATTCAACAACAGTTTTCATCAATCAAGTTCACATCGATGATTATATTAATTTGATATCGTGACCAATACTTTAAAAAAAAAATTTAATGGATCGACTCGCTTCTTCAGATACAACTCCTAGTCCATAATCTAATTTCAGTTTACTGTTATTATGGTATTGTTCAATGTGTTCAAGAATTATGAGCATTTTAAGAGTTTTAGATCTTTTCCCTAAAACATCGTCTTCAAAACTTGCAGTAATTAGATAAATTTTGAGAAACCAAAATTTATTTCTTTTCTATAATATTTCAGTTCCAAAACAACTTTTGACAACATTATCTTTTATAAACATATTTTAAACATATGCTTTTAGCAATGAAACTAAAGACTTTACCAATGACATCAGTTTCAAGAAGTTTATCTGCATGTTATAGTAGTTTGTAACATGCATTTCCTTTCATAGTTTGTAACATGCATTTCCTTTCATAGTTTGTAACATCCATTTTAAAACCTCACCTAAATGTTTATTATTAAACAGGTGATAATACATTGAAAGCAGAAAATTATTTAAAACATGATGTTGTTTAATTTTACTAAAATTAATTTAAAATCAGCTACAAAAATATTAGGAATGCTACCTAACCTTATCAGCAGTTTCATGTTTTAATAAGATTTTATAATTTGAGTTGCTATACAAAACATTATCAATATTTTGTACGTTAAAATAGTTTAAAATAGTTTTTCCGTAGGTTAAAATAGTTTTTCCGTACGTTAAAATAGTTTGTAACATGCATTTCCTTTCGTAGTTTGTAATATCCATTTCAAATTCTCACCTAAATGTTTATTATTAAACATGTGATAATACATTGATAACAGAAAATTATTTTAAACATGATGTTGTTTAATTTTACTAAAATATATATATATATATATATATATATATATATATATATATATATATATATACACACATATTTATATGTATGTATATATGTTGTGACAAAGGTTATAATATTTACCTGAACAATATTTTGAAGAAACTTTTTTAATTTCTGCAGCAGCAAGTAAACCACTGCCTTCAGTAATATGTGAAATCAAGCTTCTTTTATAAACTCTTCGTTTTTCCAACATCAGGTTGATGACCAATATACCTTGCAGTGTACCAACATCAGGTTGATGACCTTGCAGTGCATATATAGCTATTCCACTAGTTCTAGTTTCTTTTATCAATAATATATCATCATAATTTGGTATTCTAGGCAATATTCTATTAATATTATAATAATTATCAATAATATATCATCATAATTTGGTATTCTAGGCAATATTCTTTTATCTATAATATATCATCATAATTTGGTATTCTAGGCAATATTCTATTAATATTATAATTTATTATGTTAATATTTTAATTTCTATTAATTACAATATTTTCGTCTTGTTCATTTAGTGTTATTCTGTAGATGTCACATACAAAGAGGATATTTGCTGTTTAATATGTCAAAATCTACATTTTAATTTGTTTAGATATCTTTTTTGTGATTGCAAACTGTAAAGACTTTTTTTTTGAAATTATTTTTTTGTCACATATCTTTCAAAGTACGATTCTCAATATTTACATATTAAAAAAATTGTTCTTAATTTGCCCGAAAATAAAAATGTCAAAAATAAAGAAATTATTTTAAATGCATAAATAATATCATAGTTAATACTTCTCCCATTTGTTGTCATTTCCAAAAAACAATTACTTGACACAAGTTAATGATTTTATTAATTTAGTTAAATAGAGTACTTTATTATTTTTTAATACAAAATTATTTTAATTAAAAATCAGAAATATAAACAAGTGATCCAATTATGCTTTCAAGTAGACATTAGCGTTTTTTAGAAAAAATGGTTGTTTTGAAAGTAATTATAATATCTTAGATTTTAATTTCAACAGATTTGTGATGTACAAACAAAGTTCATAAAGGATCTGGAAATAATTTTCGTTAACATTTTTGTTGATCTTGATTTTGTTGAGGGCCAGTTTCAGAGGCTTTAGTACATTGAGTAGGGACAACATGCAAGGGAGTTGCTGCTACATCAATTGAGGGTTTGGGTTAGGGCAAAATAAATATTTTATTAATCTTTATTTTTTCTTTTAAAAAAAAATTGAATTCAAGTGGGCAAATGCATAAATATATATATAAATATATATATATATATATATATATATATATATATATATATATATATATATATATATATATATATATATATATATATATATATATATATATATATATATATATATATATATACATATACAGCATGCAAAATAATGGCCGGTCAAAGGTCAATGACCGCCCAAAATGAGTAAAATTGCTATTTTGACCTCCCAAAATGAATTCTTGCCAGTCATGGTTGACCGGTTAAAAAATAATCAGAGTTTTGAAAAACAAGATTTGAAAAATAATCAGATTTTTATTTGGAAAAAGTATAAACTAAACTAAATTATCATATAATCATTAAAATTTAGAAAAAGTTTATCAGTTTACCAAACTTCCTTTAAGAAATAAAATGAAAATCTACGCACTTAATTTTAAATTATTAACATTGGCATGTAATTTTAATGTTAGTTATTTGCAAATTTAAAAAAGGAATACTAATTTGTTAATTATCAAATATTAAGTTATTTTTGTATTTATAAAGTTCAGTCATGAAGAACTATTACGAAGACTAAAATAAAAACAAAGAAAATAATAAAAATGTTGACTGTCCAAAAAAAACAGTTGATTGTCAATTTTAAGGGTTAGCTGGTCAAATTGACCGCTCACCTTCGATTTCTTATTTTATATGCTGTATATATATATATATATATATATATATATATATATATATATATATGTATATATATATATATATATATATATATATATATATATATATACATATGTATATATATATATATATATATATATATATATATATATATATAATATATATATATATATATATATATATATATATATACAGAGCTATACTTTTGCAAGTACAACAAGAGAAACTGCACTAGGCTTTGATATTTAAGGGGCCCCAAATATGAAAAAATACTTTTTTCTAATATGAAACTTATAAGAAATTGGCACTAGAAGCCAAACCTTAAGAATTTTTAGTACTAAATTACTTTTCAATCAGTAACTTATTTTACTATGCTATTTTATTAAGTTAGAGGAATATTTCCAAATTTTGCACGCGCAATTGAATGAAACTCCATTCAAATGAAAATGGAATTTCCTTCAAAAATTTTCCCTTTGGAAAGGTTTTAATTTAAAAGTCATTCAAATGGAAACAAAAAAAATTTGATTAATTTGATAACAATTTAATTTGAAAAAGAATATTTTTTAAATATATTTCAAATATATAGTTTTTGCACAAAAAAGAGCGAAATAGATCCGGAAAGTAGCAGAATTAAATAGCCTTGCTGGATCATTAGATAAATTTTTTAAACAAGGCAAATGTTTGTTAGTTTCAAACACTACTTCAATTAAAATATGCAATTTATATGGTAAATCTCAGTTTGAAAACGATAATGTTGAAGAAAATATGAATGAGCCACAACTTCGAAAAATTGATAACCAGAACGTAGATATTGAATCAGGATCCAATAGCATCAAATTGAAGATATTATATCTAGCAAGACTTCAGAAATTAGTGATAATTTACAAACGGAGAGCGGCACTTAACCAAAATGCAATTATAATATACTAAATCCAGAAACATGGCCTGTTGAAATCAACAACAATTAACGGATGTTTTTGGTAGAGCAGTCACCAAAAATTATTAAAGATACCATTATAAAAGAAATTCTCAAGGAAGATGTTTCAGTGACACTTTTTTACCGACAAATAAAAAATGGCGAAATAGAATTAAGAAATTGGCTTTTATATTCTAACTCGACAGGAAAAAGTTTCTGCTTCTGTTGCTGTTTATTTCCATTGATAAACATAAGCTTAACTTCAAGTGGATTTTTTGATTATGCCCATACAGGAATACAGTTATCTGAACATGAATCTTTATAGAAACATCTTGAATCAGCGTATAAAAGGCGAACTCTAGAATTTAACATTAAACACAGAACAGGAATAGATCATCTCAATGAACATGTATTTAATTAAGAAAAACACAAATGGCAAATAATTTTAAAGGCAGTATTGTTTTTAAGTGAACAAAATTTAGCTTTTTAGGGGCAGCAACGAAAAACCAAATAATAGTACTTTTTTAGGAGTGATTGAATTACTTGCTGGTTTTGTTACAGAACTCAAAATCAATTTAAAATCAATCACTGATATAGAAAAAAGAGTTACAGCATATTTTTCTGTGAAAAGTCAAATCAAAATTACCTTACAACTAGCTTCTAGAGTTTTAGATACAATAGTAAGTGATATTAAATCATCAAAATACTTTTCCCTAATGATTCTACACCAGATTTTTGCAAAAAAGACCAGTTGTCCATAATTAGTCAGTATGTTATGATAGCGTACCAAAAGCCAAGTGTTCAAGACAGTTTCATAAATTTTGTAAATATAATGTCATTGTATTGAGGAATTAGAAATATTAGGAATCAAGATTGCTGATTGCTGAGGTCAGTCGTATGACAACGCAAGAAATATAAAAGGAGAATATAAGAGAGTAAAAAGATTGGTGGACTTAACATCAATTTAGTTATAAATGATAGTGCTAAAAACACTATTAAAAGTCAGAATTATTTAACTACATTTAATAATTTATATGAGATTTTTGCTATATCAACAAAGCAATAGACTATTCAAGTAAAATATTCAAAAATTAATTTGAAGGCGCCAAGCAATACTCGATGGGAATGTTGCTTTTAAAGTATAAAAGCCGTGAAATACCAGGTAAAAAAAATTAGTCTTTAAACATAACAATTGCCATCCACATTGTAAAGCTCATGCTGCATTTTTAATAAAACAAATTAAATCTTATGAATTTTTTGTGCTCACAATGATTTGGTACCACTTGTTATCAAAGCTTCACATTTTCAATTGAATTGAATTTTTTTTTTGCTGAAGCTAATTGCTTATATGGCAATTGATTTTGCATTACAAGATACAAAGGCAATGCTATTATCTCTTGATGATTTTATAAACAATTTTGAGCAGATTGTAAAAGAAGCACAAAAAGCAACGGTAGATATAGATCTAATAACACAGTTCACTTAACGGTCTTCTTATGATACCAAATATTAAGTATAAACAAAAATTGTCTTGGTCAAAAATCACTGAAACCTAGTTTAGTCAAAATGGAGAGTACGTAATCTCAAGAGATTGGCAGACTATGTTATTATACAGACCTTAAAAAAAAAGCAAATGAAAAATATTACGATATTGATATACCAAATGAAAAAATTGAAGCAATAGACGATGATTGATCCAATTGAATAAAATGAATAATTTTAATAACACCCATTACCGTTGCTTATTGTGAACAATCGTTTTCAAAAACTAATTCAAAATTAGTTGCAAATTATCTGTGTTCTACAATGTCAGTAAGACTTTCAGGATTTACAATACTGTCAATAGAAAATGCAACCACAAAAAGGCTAGGAAAATTTATTTATAATTTCTTTGTATAACTTTTTTTTTAAAAATAAAACCCAATAAAAATGAAATCAATAAAGTTGAAAAAAAGGGCCACAAAAAGTTACAGCACAGGGCGCAAAATTTTTAAAACAAAGGTTTCACCATAACAACATAGAAATAAGGTATGCAAAAAATCGCAGACCTCAGACACAGTTAGGTTAGCATGCCGACCCTAATTCCGAGGGCCTATGTATACATATATATACATTTTCATGTATATGCAAAACTCGTTACTATATTTTATGGTCAAACCTTTGTTTCACATTTTTTCTGCTGACCTTATAATCACCTCACGCAGATTAGGCAAATTAAAACCAGGTTGGCAAATTATTGCCGACCTTATTTTTCTTGATTCGGAGGGCAGATGTATGCATATGTAACTATATATATAAAATATTTTTATGTACATAAAAATATTTTATGTTTTGTTGTATTTTACTCATTTTAAAATTTGTTTAATATATCAAAATTATTTTTAAGTACTTAAACTGTTTTACTTCTCAATATTATTTTCTGCATTTTCTTTTATAATTATGAAAATAAATAAAAATTATTAAATAAAAATAAAAAAATAATGAAACTTCTCACCTTTTGTTCAAAATTTCTAAATGAGCTAATAATTAAACAAATTTGTTATAGATTAAACAATACAATAAAGAGAGAACTTTAAAAAGCTTAGTTTCATTCATTGAAGAAACAATCAAGTTTGATGCTGAAGTTGATGAAAAAACTCCACACCTACTAAAAAAAAGTGTTTCTGAATTAAGTCTCCATGAAAAATATAAGGTAATTGTAGTCATAGTAGTTTTTATACATTGTTGTTAGCACTTATTATTTTTAAAACAAAAAGAAAAATTTGTTCAAAGAATTCTTTTTTAATTTGATAGGACAAAAAAAGTTAGATTATGAAGGTGGGGGGAAGGAGGCTGAGTGGAACTTTTGAATGTGAAGTTTTAAAGTTAGATAGAATAATAAGATTTTTTGAATTGGCAATCAACTTTTTAAATTAAAAAGTATAAAAGTTATGAAAATGGAATAGAATAAAACACATAAAATGCTTTTTCATTCAAGAATAATATATCTTTCAGGAATTGGTTATGAATGAGTATACCTTAGTTTTTCATATGAAAAGTGGGTTTGTTATAGTATTCTTTTATATTCCAAGGTATGCTGTAAATTTCTTATTAGTTTCTATGTTTTGTTTGTTTCAATAATTAATTACTTTTTTTTGTTTTAAATAAATATTTTTAACTATTAGCTTAATTGATGGTCTTGAAATATTTGTTGAGTTTTCAAAAGAATTATCTGGCGTTGTACCTGGAATTGTAAATTTTTTTTTTTTTTTTTTTATATTTTTAGTTCAAAATTGTTTAGATAAAATAATTAATAAATTGATTCTTTTATGAATTACAAACAAATTAAACAGAACTATATTTGTGTGTAAATGTGTTCATGCATTTTTAACTGACATTAGTGTGTGACAAATGACAATCAGTGTGTGTATTTTTGTGTAAATGTGTTCATGCATTTGTAACTGACATTAGTGTGTGACAAACGACATTAGTGTGTGACAAATGACAATCAGTGTGTGACAACTGACATTAGTGTGTGACAACTGACATCAGTGTGTGACTTCTGACATTAGTGTGTGACAACTGACATGAGTGTGTGACAAATGAAATTAATGTGTGACAACTGACATTAGTGTGTGACAAATGACATTAGTGTGTGACAAATGACATTAGTGTGTGACAAACGCCATTAGTGTGTGACAAATGACAATCAGTGTGTGACAACTGATATTAGTGTGTGACAACTGACAATAGTGTGTGACTTCTGACATTAGTGTGTGACAAATGACATTAGTGTGTGACAACTGACATTAGTGTGTGACAAATGACATTAGTGTGTGACAACTGACATTAGTGTGTGACAACTGACATTAGTGTGTGACAAATGACATTAGTGTGTGACAACTGACATTAGTGTGTGACAAATAACATTAGTGTGTGACAAATAACATTAGTGTGTGACAAATAACATTAGTGTGTGACAAATGACATTAGTGTGTGACAAATGACATTAGTGTGTGACAAATAACATTAGTGTGTGACAAATGACATTAGTGTGTGACAAATGACATTAGTGTGTGACAAATGACATTAGTGTGTGACAAATAACATTAGTGTGTGACAAATGACATTAGTGTGTGACAAATAACATTAGTGTGTGACAAATAACATTAGTGTGTGACAAATAACATTAGTGTGTGACAAATGACATTAGTGTGTGATAACTGACATTAGTGTGTGACAAACGACATTAGTGTGTGACAAATGACAATCAGTGTGTGACAACTGACATTAGTGTGTGACAACTGACATCAGTGTGTGACTTCTGACATTAGTGTGTGACAACTGACATGAGTGTGTGACAAATGACATTAATGTGTGACAACTGACATTAGTGTGTGACAAATGACATTAGTGTGTGACAAATGACATTAGTGTGTGACAAACGCCATTAGTGTGTGACAAATGACAATCAGTGTGTGACAACTGATATTAGTGTGTGACAACTGACAATAGTGTGTGACTTCTGACATTAGTGTGTGACAAATGACATTAGTGTGTGACAACTGACATTAGTGTGTGACAAATGACATTAGTGTGTGACAACTGACATTAGTGTGTGACAACTGACATTAGTGTGTGACAAATGACATTAGTGTGTGACAACTGACATTAGTGTGTGACAAATAACATTAGTGTGTGACAAATAACATTAGTGTGTGACAAATAACATTAGTGTGTGACAAATGACATTAGTGTGTGACAAATGACATTAGTGTGTGACAAATAACATTAGTGTGTGACAAATGACATTAGTGTGTGACAAATGACATTAGTGTGTGACAAATGACATTAGTGTGTGACAAATAACATTAGTGTGTGACAAATGACATTAGTGTGTGACAAATAACATTAGTGTGTGACAAATAACATTAGTGTGTGACAAATGACATTAGTGTGTGACAAATAACATTAGTGTGTGACAAATGACATTAGTGTGTGACAAATGACATTAGTGTGTGACAAATAACATTAGTGTGTGACAAATAACATTAGTGTGTGACAAATAACATTAGTGTGTGACAAATAACATTAGTGTGTGACAAATAACATTAGTGTGTGACAAATGACATTAGTGTGTGACAAATGACATTAGTGTGTGACAAATGACATTAGTGTGTGACAAATGACATTAGTGTGTGACAAATAACATTAGTGTGTGACAAATGACATTAGTGTGTGACAAATGACATTAGTGTGTGACAAATAACATTAGTGTGTGACAAATAACATTAGTGTGTGACAAATAACATTAGTGTGTGACAAATAACATTAGTGTGTGACAAATGACATTAGTGTGTGACAAATGACAATGTGTGTATTTTTGTGTAGCACAAGTATAAGAAAATTTTTACCAGAAATTTAAGTAGTATTTCATATAGTTATATAAATTTGTATTTCATATAGTTATAATTATAAATTATAATTTATTATTATTTTATTAGTAGTGAACAATAATTTTATTAGAACATCATTGCAATATTTATGAACAATTGATTTAATTTTCATTTTTCATATATGCAAAAATCATCAAGCACAAGCAGTTGCATTGACGGCCTTCATTTGCAAGGTTTTTAATGTTACAGATATGAAGCTTTCAGGCATTAGGGTGGTTACAAAACCAAAATTTTTAAATTTGTCTACTTAAACCCCCTAAATGTGTAATATATAATAAAATAAAACTAAGTTTAAAAAGTTTTTTTGAAGGTTTTTAATAATTAAAAAACAGCCACTGTTTATATTGGGAGTTTGAATTGGGAGTTAAATGAAATCAAAAATTTTTAAATGAAAATAGTAGACTGAAAACTAAAAAGTTGTTGAAGTCAGGAAAACATGAAGGCAGGAGACAATTCCTAAGCAATAATATGCGAAGAAAAAAAAAGAGTATAAGTTTTTTTTGTATGAATTAATGTATATAAATGGATGTGCTTAACGATGTTTGATCAAGTTTTTGTTGATAAAACAAGTGTTTATAGTGTTGATCCTTAGGTTGAATGTTAGATCAAGTTTTGTTTGATAAAACAAGTGTTTATAGTGTTGATCCTTAGGTTGAATGTTAGATCGAGTTTTTGGTTGATAAAACAAGTGTTTATAGCTTGATTGTAGTGACCATTAAAGTATTTGTAAAAAAAAAAGAATGAGATGCAACTTTACAACAACAAAACAGGCTCAAGCATAGCGGCTAGACAAGGTTCATTTACAATGTTTTTTTAAGACTTTGTTTAAAAAAGGAAGGTTTTTAGTTATAAAAACTAGCCCATTTTATATTTATAGAGGTATAAAATAGATTTAAAATTAATGAATACAATAAAGAAAGACAACCTTTGCAGATGCTAACTCAGCAAATTATTTTATATGGCTTTCTTATAGGGTAAGTAGTAAAGAATGATCCAAGAAGATACAATAAAATAATATACTGTATGTCATAGTCACTTATTGATAAAAGAATATCAACAATGTTATTAGCATTAAACAACTGAGTTTTTTGGGCGTTATCATTTATCAGCCACAATGAGCAGAAGTGAGCAAGAAGTGACAGCCTCAAGCCTCACTTCTGTGACAGCTTAAAGCTGTCACAGAGGAAAGATCACATTTGAGATGCTTGTTGTTATGTGGCGGTCTGTTGTGATCAAAGAATCTTTTTGTCAATATTGGAGTGTAAAGTTGTACCTTCAGCAAAAGAGATAAACAATTTAAAATAAGCCAGGCAAGATTGTAAAGAAGATCATTAAAATAGGTTAAAAACAACACAGGATCAAGGATGGAACCTTGCTGTACCTCAGAAGTTACTGAAAAGTAGAAGAGTGTTGTCCTTCAAAGATTGAATAAAAACTGTAGTTAAAAAAAGAGTAACTCAATAATTAAAAAAACTTTCCAGATATATTGTGTAAAGAGAGCTTTTGGAGCAGACTAGCATGTCAGACTTTATTGAACGCATTTGATATATCAAGAGCAATTGAGACACTATTTCTAGATTTTACTCTACCCAAAGTTCTAAATCAGGAAGTAATGTAGTTCAGAGTTGTTTTCTCCTAACATTTACTGACATACGCAAGTTCTACAATTCAGCAAGAGATGTGGGAGGTTGTACTAAATCATATGTTACAATTAGCAAAGTGATCATGATGACCATGATCAGATTGTGAACCATGACTATTATCGGACAGAAAAACTTCACTACATTTACAAGTTGTACTAAATATCTCAACTTTCAATTTTGGTAGAACTTTTCAAAGTTGTACTAAAAACTCTCAACTAGTTATTAGTTTTTTTGCTAATGATTAGCAAAAAAACTTTATTTGAAAGCATTTCGCTAATATAAAAACATTTGTTAAGAAGTTTTGATATAATTTATTTCACCTAAAGTATAGTTCAGAATATTTTTCATTCAGCAAATTTTTAAAATGTTTTTTGAAATAGCCGCGGTCAAATCGTCAAAGCTAAATGTGATTTGCCTGGTCATATAATAATGTGTAATCGCACGTCTTTCTGTGAAAGACTGTAATCAGTATTAACATTAGTCATTAGTATAGTATTTATATATATATATATATATATATATATATATATATATATATATATATATATATATATATATATATATATATATATATATATATAAATGTACATATACATTAGGGTGATTCAGAATGAGAGAGTTTTTAAAACAAAAATATGTATATTGTTAAATTTGGTGCAAATATATAGAAAATAGGTTTTAAAGCTTACCGGGCTCGTTTTAGGCTCATAAAGCTTCCTGACCACTCTATACCCCCCTCTCAAGACTCATTTTTGTGAAAAAAATGACAATTTTTTTGTCAAAGGTTGCTGATTTCAGTGACATTGAGGGAGGGTCTAATATAAACCAATTTGGCTAAATTAAAAAAAAAAGAGCCTAGACTACATATATTTTGCATTTAAAATCATACGTATATTTGTTTTTGTTTTATTAATGAGCATTTATTATTCAAATTATACATAAATTCACAAAATTTATGACTTTTTTGTGATATTAAGAATGAATTTGGAATATAGAAATACATTTTTTCTTATATAATAAAAATGTTTTTTGGTTAAAAATATTGTACAATGCTTGCTACTTTAATTAGTTACGTATTTGAAGCATTCTTCCATCCTCCTTCTCCTGCCATTTCCTAAAATAAAATAAATAGCAAACCATAACACTTCATGTTCTTTTACTAAAGTTTCATATGAATTTATTTTTAAATAAAAAACTAATAATATGAAGTCACTACATTGATTTAAAATTTGAAATTTACATATTTGACTTTAAATTTTAAAATTCAAAATAAAAATTTAACTGAACAAGTATTAATATGAGTTATCAGAAACATAAGATTTTGTGCAATAACAGTTTGAGATCTTTTAAAAAGATTTTTCATATTATCAATAAAGCTATGTTTACTATTTCAGGTATGTATTGCATAGAAATAAATGTACAGTTATCGATACGGTTTTATGATATTTTGTATTTACCTGAAAAGAAGTCACGGTCACTAAAACACATCTTTATCTCAATTTCGACACCAATTCATCACACTATTATACTCTGTAAGATAAATAATGCGCGCATATTTATACTATTTATATAAAGTTGGTAATACAATTTTAATAAAACCTATATGGTTTAGGAACGCAACTTTTAACGGGTATGGATATCTTGCAACACTTTAAATATTGTCAATTAAATTTGCCAAATGGAATTACAAAAAATTAGATATTCTATATTGTCCTCGAAAGTCAAACTTAAAGGTTGATAGGTGTCAACTAGTTTAATGTGAATGTATCATGGCAAAAATAAAACATCCATGGATTAAAGCTGGGTTTCCAGTTAATATCAACATAAATATTAGAAAAAATTTAAAAAATCTTGAGCTAAAATATTCTAATTTATTAAAAAATGTCAAAAGAAACTCAAAACAAGATATTGAAAATTAAATAGGATTTTAAAATTTTGTTAAACATATTTTTTGGATAGGAATTCCAGAACTAAAAGATTTTATTAAAAGTGATAAGCTAAGATCCAATAAATCTAAAATCGAAGGTTTACATTTCTTAGAAGATCAAGAATGTCCAAGATTATATCATTTGGGTCCTCTAGATACTAAATATACTAAAAAAGTAATTTGATTATGTTTTAATTATGAGAATTTGCATAGTGTAAGTTTTATTTTTTTAAATGTTTAAGCAGTTTTGCGTCAGATTTTAATAAAATGATGCTTTCAAGGTAGGTGAACTATTTACTTACTTTACTAAAAGGAGTGAAGTATTAGTATAAGAAATATTGGTTTAACTAACTTTATTTTGTTTTTGGACTTACACTATGTTGATTCTCATTCACACATTTAGTTTTTAAATAATATACTCTTTATAGTTTGTTAAATTTATTAGATATGTTCTAACTTTGTGTTTTTGTCACTAATAAATTTTTATATAAGGGATTGTATATAAATTACGTAACGCGAAATTTAACTAATAGACAAAAGAAAAAGTGTTAAAAGTTCCCTAGCAGAGTCTTAAATTAAACCAAGTATAAATAACCCTTGAAGTCCAGCAAAAGCTGCCACTCAAAAGAGCAAAATGTTCTCCTACTTATATTTTTAAAATAAGCTTTGCGTTGCGTTATTTATGGACAATCCCTAAGGTAAAATCATTAAATATAAAGAAGTGCAATAATGCAATGAAAAATGGATCCCCGAGTAAAATTTTAAAATTTCACGAAGAAAACGTTAGCAGTAATGATGAACTAAGTTCAGATAACTTTTCTGATTCTGACTTCAAGCCAGGCAAATGGATAAAAAGAAAAAATAAACCAGTACAAAATTTCGGGCCAACATTCCTAAAGATATTTATTCCGGAAATGTTGCTTTGATGGCAACTGTTAATAACATCTCTCCTATGCTTCTGCAGAGAATTGCAACGGCGGTTGTTCAAGCTGCAGGAGTGGACATAAACGCCATCAAATCAAGTCTCTAAACTGCAGTTAGAAGAATGAAAAGAAAAAATAAAGAAATTTCAAATATTTAAAGAACGTTTATCTACATTCCCATGTATAATTCATTTTGATGGAAAAACTTTATTTGAGATAATTAAAGGAAAGAAACTAAAATGTGAGCGATTAGCTGTACTAGTAAATATTAATGGCGAACCACACGTGTTGGGTGTGCCTTCTTTACCATTCTATTCAGAAGACAATCAATATAAAGGAATAATGCAGTTGCTAGATGAATATGTTATTAAATCAAATGTTGGTAGATTGTGCTTTGACACAACAGCAACAAATACTGGAATTACGAAAGAGGCTGTAAATAGAATTATCCATGATTTAGGTAAATACATTCTTCAGCTTGCTTGCAGGCACTATGTTACAGCGCTTAGAATAAGTCATTTTCAGAAACATGTTACTCATGAAGAAAAGGTAGGACCAGAAAATCTTTTTTTTAAAAGATTAAGAAATAAGTTTGACAATTCAGAGTTTTATTACAATCCTGAAAACATATTAAGGTTTGATGGTCATTAAAGGCTGATACTGTAGTCGAAAAAGCAGCAACAGATGTACTCGAATATTGCAAAAAGTACATTAAAAAGAAAAATATTGCTAGGGAAGACAGAAAAGAACTAGCAGAGCTTGTTATTATTTATTTATCGAAATCGGGAATTGTTAAAATAAAAAAAACAGGTGCAGTTCACCATGCAAGATTTCTTAGCTCAGCTCTTTATTATACAAAGTTACATCTGCTATCTAAACAACTGAAGTTACATCTGCTATCGAAACAACTGAAGTTACATTTGCTATCTAAACAACGAGATTTATTTATAAAAGAGGAAGACGTAAAAGCTCAAGTAAAACAAATTGTGAAGTTTATTTGTTGTTTTTATTCTCCATGGTACTTGCAAAGCTACAATCCTATTAAAGCCCCATACCTTGATATTACAGCTCTACATCAAATGACTCTGTATAAAGATGTTTGCCAAGTAAAACAAGCTGTAGATAAAGTCATTGACTCGATATTAAAACACTCTTGGTACTTAGACTCAACTTTGATACCTCTTTCGCTTTTAGATTATAAAGTTCCTGATGAAGAAAAAAACACTAATCGCCAATTCAATTTTATCTTACAAAATGCCATCTTTAAAGGCATCTGATTACAAAATTAAAAATAAGCCAAAAGTGGATCTCAAAGAGATAATCAACCTAGATAGCACAACGGCTAGTAATGTACAAATTTTGGCAGTGTTAGTTAACGAGTTTTCCTACTTTATTTTTGCAGTAAATGGGTTTACAGAAAAGACAATGCGCGATTGGTTGTCACTTCCACCATCTTTCTGGCACACTCAATCATATTACTAACAATTTTTAGCCTATGCAAAAACTTTGATTATACTAAACAATCATGCAGAAAGAAATGCAGAAAGAAATGTAGGCATGATGCAGGAGTTTATCCATAGATATATTATTGAAGAAGAAAAACAAATGAGAACCATAGACAAAGTTCGTTATACCATGAAAAAACCTGAAAAAAGCTCCAGCAAGATGACAAAAGTGAATATGGAAATAGGTTTAAATAACATTAATAATTTCAAGAAACTCAAAAGTGATTAGAAAACTTTTTTTTTTTCTTTTGTAGGATTTTTTGTTAGATAAATAGAATATCTAGTTTTTGTCATAATTGGCGTGAGTAACTTAAAAATTGGTTTTGGCGTAAAAACTTGAATCGCTTAAGTAGTAAAAAAATGAGGAGGGACTCGGGGGTAGGTAAGGGCAAGATGAGAGGTAAGGCAAATACATTATTAATTGAAGTAACAAGCAATTTACAATATTATCAACCAAAAAATATTTTTAATACACATGGCTGTCAACACTGAGGAATGAGAGGGGCAGGGGACTTGCCCCTTACTCTTTTTTTTTTTATATTTGCTTCAAATTTAACGATATACGTATAAAAATTCTCTTATTCTATATATATATATATATATATATATATATATATATATATATATATATATATATATTTGTTTATTTTACTATGCTGTAGGTAAACTGTGAAGAAAACAAAGAGTTGTGTACCAAATTATCTGTATGATTTTATTCTGAATTTTTGTTAATATTTCATTATTAAGTGGTTTTTATTTCAGTAATATTTTTAAAAGTAGTTACTGCTTATTGAATTTCTGGTAGTTACTGTTTATTAGTTCTTTAATTCTTTTGTTTTGTTTTTGGGTTTTTTTCATTAGTTAAATTCACCTCCCTTAAGCTCCAGAGACTCCCTAAGGCTACTGCTTTGGATGTACTCTTTTTTATTATTATTATTTTTTTACATTATTACTTTTTTTTTTTTTCTATTACTTTATTTGAAACCCTCTCTCAACCCTAAACCTTATTAACTGAATCTCTCAACTCTGAACCTTATTAACTGAATCTCTCAACTCTGAACCTTATTAACTGAATCTCTCAACTCTGAACCTTATTAACTGAATCTCTCAACTCTGAACCTTATTAACTGAATCTCTCAACTCTGAACCTTATTAACTGAATCTCTCAACCCTGAACCTTATTAACTGAATCTCTCAACTCTGAACCTTTTTAACTGAATCTCTCAACTCTGAACCTTATTAACTAAAATTCTCAACTCTGAACCTTATTAACTGAAACTCTGAAATTAAGTACACTTGTTTTTTTATAATCTTGGTAAGGTCGCTGCAAAGAGAGGTTTGAGTGCTTCTAGAGGTATAAAATGAGTTTTATTTTCTTGATTGTGAACAGAATGTTCTACAGTAGTCTACAGTAAGGTTACAATTTTTTTTTTGTTTTAATAGTCTTATTAGGCTTCAAGTGATTAAGCTTTTTTTATTTAGTTGGTTTTCATCTAGGTGCGAACATATCCAAAGATCATATTTTTTGAAAATTTGAACGATTACTTTCCATATTTTGGTGATAGAACTAAAGTTGGCTTACATGCATTTGTAAAATCCTTTAAAAACAAAAATTCTAAAGACTCTAAAGAAGAACTTTAAATAATTTTGAAGAAGAATAAATATGTTTATATAATTATCGCATTTTTCTAATGGACAAATAAATTTTATAAAATCACTATAAGTTAAAGGTAAGTAAAAAATGTAAACCAGCTTATATTAACAGTTTACAATTAAGTATTTTTTTTAAATTAAATTCTCAATAACATGATCATATATAATTAAACAGTGATAAATTTTGAAAATGTTTTGAAACTTTATAAGAATATAGGATGCATGTTTATTTAGGATTTTTTTAATCAAAATGTTATTTTTAATATCATTGTTCATGTAATTATTAGTAAAAAAAATACATAATTATTTTCACATTTAATCAATATATATATTTTTGTAACTCCGTGTGGAAAAAATATCCTGTCTATTTAAATTTTTAAAATTATAATGTATTATAATATTTTATTTATTTAAAGTTATATGGAATAATGAAAAATAGCTTCTTTTTTTTATTTTTAATTATTTATTGAGATTCGGGTAAAATTATTTTAAAGGATTTTTATGGATGTTTTTTCTGTGTTTTTACTTTTAAAAAAAAGAATTTGCTATAAATATAAATTTAATCTCTCTCTTTCCTTGAAATTTAACCTTGAATATGATATGATTATTCACACACAGACAAACACACACACACACACACACACACACACACACCTAGAATCAGAAATCATGACAAAATAAGATTTCTAGATTAAAAGTGTTTGCAACATAGTACTATTTAGTTTTTTGCTTTTGACACTTAAACTTAAAGATTCAATTCAAGATAAAAATATTCTTCAATCTTTTAGTCATTGCAAAAAAGATAAAATTTTAGTTTATCAGGTTATTATGTTTATCAATTTCAGTTAATGGCTGCTAATAAGAACAACAATATGCATTCAATTATCCTAGTGTTATACTTCGAGTAAAGTATAATTACAGTTACATTTAAAAGTTTCTTATATGTTTAAAACAAATTAAGTCAAAATAATGGTGAAAACAAAAATTTATTAACTTTGCTCAACCAACAACTTTGTGTTATTGCTCCTTAACTATTATGTACAAATATGTCCACATTGCAATTATGTTTGTATATCCACATTGCAAATATGTCTGTATATCCACATTGCAAATATGTCTCTATATCCACATTGCAAATATGTCTTTGAAAAGCTTGACTTATGGTCTCCATGAAAACTAATCCGCTCATTTTTCATAATAACTGTTATAACTTTTAATTTAAAAAGTTGATTGTTAATCTTAAATTCCTTCAAGTGTCTCTGCACCATGCATTGATATATGTCAATGCTTTCTTTTTTTTTTTTTTTTTTTTTTTTTTTTTTTTTTTTTTTTTACTTGGTTAAAAGGTTTGCTGGATAATTCCTGTTCTCTAAGCACGCATCTCCCACAAACTTTCACAGGCAGATTGCAAAGGTACTCCTAACTCTAATTTTTAATTTTCTCTCCTAATCATGCTTTAAGAAACTTTAAGAATGAGTTTATGGATGACTTTTATGGAAGAGACATGTCAATATTGCTCAATAATCTGCAAATTTTCCAGATGTTTATAATTGCATTAATTATATGCAAAAACCTTTTAAACAAGATAAATAATATAAAAATGCCTTTATAATGTAAGATTGTGTAATAAAATTGTGAAAAAGTTTGTTAAACTACTTCTAAATACCATAAAAAATTGTTTGCGGGGACAGGAATTCCCATTAGTAAACATATGTTTGATAAATATTTGACAAATATACAGACATATTGTTAAAAAAAATTTGTATTACTCCAATAAGTCTCATAATATGGCTTATCATTTTAATTGTAGTTATAGTGTTAATATAAGTTCATTTGATATGATATAACAATGTTTTAAAAAATTTGCAATATTTTGGTAAATTTTTTGATTTGATTTACTTTATTAAAAAAAATTTTTTTTACTAAAAGTGAATTAATTTTACTAATTATAAAATTAAATATTTACTAATGTAATGCATAAGAAAGTTGCTAGAAAAATCTAAAATTATAAAAACAAATGCAAAAAAACATTTAATGAAAACTTTTTATTTTTAGATAAATAGATAGTTTTTTAGGAATCCCAAAAGTAATGCAAACTGTATAAAGTATATTGATGCAAGTTATGAGGAAAATTTTTAAACATGAAAAAATTTTGTTTTTGCAAATGGTGCAGTAAATTTTCAAAAGGAATGTTGTTAAGTCTTCAACAACTTCTACACAAAAACAGGGGAGACAAACAGTTTTGTAAGGTAATTGCAATTTGCTTATGACTTATGTGGTACTTGTATCTGCTGACATACCAATAAATAAAATTCAGGAAGATATATTGTTGCTGCTGACATACCAATATATAAAATCCAGGGATATAAATTGTAGATGTTGACATACCAATATATAGGTTTCAGGGAGATATATTGTAGATTTTATTATGAGAGTATTACATCAAGAGAAAGAAATCACACTAGTTTTTATTGATCTTAATTTTTTTTTGCTGAGATTTTGAGGTATTTTCCTGATGAAAAACTTTTTTCTTTAAAATTTCTTTTTGGTTGCCCTAGTTATGACTAATTTAATTTTTTAATGGTATTCAATAGAGAAAAAAAAATAGCAATGTTTTTATATAAAAATACACATGACAATAATTTTAAATAAAAATACACATGGCAATAATTTTAAATAAAGATACACATAGCAATGTTTTTAAATAACAATACACATTAATATTTATCACAAATTAATTTCAAGAACTGAAGAACACAATATTTTATCACTAATTAATTTTAAGAACTTCTATGAAAAGTTGTTAAAATAATAATCATTTCATATAAATAATATTATATTCGATTTTATTGCTTAAAAATTACTCATGGATTTTCTATCAAATTTTTTTCTGAGTTGTTTTTATTTTTCTTTAGATTATTTTTTTTTTGAAATTTTTTTTATAATTTTGCTTCTTTGAGAGAAAAATATTTTGATGATATTAGTGACTTGTCTAATGTTTATGGTAGTTTCAGTTTAGATCATCCATAATTTATGCAATGCTAAGTTTCATTAATAAACAAAACAAAAAAGATTAAAGTTTTTCCTCACAGAGCGTTGAGTTAAATAGAAAATCAAAATAGCGCATTAGGTTTAATAAAAATCCATGTGTAAATGAACCTAAGATCTCCTATTTCTGTTTTTAATAAATTTAGCATAATTTATGGATGATCTCGAAGGATACTCTTGAGCTACTCCTACAAATCTTTTTTGTAAAGAAATATTTAAGCACTCAGTATTTTATTATTATATAGCGAACTTTTATATTTTTTTAGCACTTAAATGACTAACGGTTTATTGATATTGAATGGGGTAACCACGAAACAACATATATATACGTGCTTAAAGGAGGCATCTAAATTTGTGCAAAATAATATGTATGTTGAATTTTTAAGTTGTGGTCTTCCAATTAAGTCAAAACAAAAGTTGGATATTTTAAATTGTGTATATAATCGACCTATTGACATATGTAAAGGAGTCAATGTGCACGTTTTATTGTCTCAAGCAGGTACATTGTTTTCTAAAAATCTTCAAGTATGTGTGGCAAGTGAAAATCTAAAGTTTTTGCACAAAGATTTTGAAACTAATGTACAGAAAAAGTATTTATTTGAAGACTCTGTTGTTCGCTTTATAAATCATCCTATTGATGAATTTGATGTAGATGGTACTGATCTTTCATTTTATGATAACGTTGTCATTGGAGGGACGTTTGATCGCATACATGATGGTCATAAATTGCTAATTTCCACTGCATTATTTTATGCGCAAAAGAAACTTGTAGTTGGAGTATCTGATGGAGTTTTATTGCAGAAAAAGGTATTAAAAGAACTGATTGAACCAGTTGAAACACGGATAAAAAATGTTATTGAACTAATTGAAACTTACAAACCAGGTTAGTAAGCTGTTTTTTTCATATGCTTTAATGTTTTGCTAGTAACTTATTGTGTTTCTAAAATTTTTCTGTACTAACATTTTTTTGTATATATAAGAATTAAGGTTCACTTTATTTTAATGTTATTTTTATATTGTGTTGTTCACAAACATAATTTAATATATGGTATTACTGAATATAGTTTGCATTCTAATGTATATAGTTTGTATATTGCTGTATCTACAGGGGTGGGACCGCAAAATGTGAACACTTTTCTGATTGTAATAATTAATTTTCTGTTAAATATGAACTATTTTAAATAAGAATGTCCAATGGTTGGACATTGTTATTTAAAATAGTTCATATTTAACAACTCTTTAGACACTTTCTGATGAGTGAGAGAGTACAACTACATCTAACGAGAAAATAGTTATAATAAAACAAAAACGTTCACATTTTGCGGTCCCACCCCTGTAGTTTGCATATCACTGTATATAACTTGCATATTGTTATATATAGTGGTGTGAATTGAAGAACTTCCCATACTGAAGAAATCTCACACAAACTAGACTATTATTATGTTATATATACTAAAGACTTTCATATAATATATTCTTTCATATACGACATATTCCTTCATATACTTTCATATACTACATATTCCTTTATATTCTTTCATATACTACATATTCCTTCATATTCTTTCATATACTACATATTCCTTCATATTCTTTCATATACTACATGTTCTTCATATTTTTTCATATACTACATATTCCTTCATATTCTTTCATATACTACATATTCCTTCATATACTTTCATATAATATATTCTTTCATATACTACATATTCCTTCATATACTTTCATATACTACATATTCCTTCATATACTTTCATATACTATATACGTTCTATTATTATATATTCTCTTATATTCTTATTAACTTATTAAATTATTTTCTTATAAACTCTCTTATACTATATACTTTTATATACTTTAGTCTATATACAGAATTTCAGTATATTTAATATAAGTATTGTAAATGACTTTTTTGAAATTTTTTTAACCAACTGTTTCTTTATCCGAAGCTTTGAGCTGGATGCAAAACATTTCTTTTTTTAAACTATTTGTTTTTAAAAAAAAAAGTTTTTTTGCTTTATAAATGATTGATGAATAAGTTAAATTTATTAAGATTTGCAGTTACAAACTTTAATAAAACTTAATAAAATCAAAAATGAAAGTTATGTGATGTCAGTTATCATAAATGGCTAGTTCGCTCTACAGTAAAACTTCTTAATAGTAAAACTTCTTGATATTGCACGTGCATGTATAAAACATTCAATTAACCTTATGTTGATACTAAACCTCAAAGAACGGTTTATAAAATTGTTAAAAAAAAAATTTTCAATTTATTACGTAACATTTTTTTTAAAATTCAAAGAGTTTTTCAAAAATTTTGCTTTGGAGTCGGAGTCGTTACTTTTTTTTTATGACTCCACACTGACTAAGCTTTAAACTTTTCTCCTTTTTCTTCTTAACATGCTTCTTTGAGGTCATACTTCCGAACATAAAATTAAAAAAAACAAAAATTCCATACAGAAGTATGGGAATTTTTCTTTTTTTGTCTCTATAAAAGCGAATTTTCTTCATGCTTTGGTCATAAATCCAAAGTTTGTGCTCAATTTAGTCGTTTTTCTACAGTTCTATAGTCTTAACATTTTGAATCCAAAAGTTGTGTTTCATAGTGTTTAACTACCATGTTCTTAGTGTACATAGTGTTTAACTACATGTGTTACATAGTGTTCAACTTGTATTGCAGGTATATCAGTGCTTATAAATTCTGCTACCTTCATCAAATCCTCTTTGGTCTTCTTGATGAACTTCAAGCTGTAATTTTTTAATCCTGTTGTGTGAAGATGACTAAGTAATAGTTCTCAGGTGCAGATTTAAGTGGATTTTTTTTAGTTCTCGGCATAAACTGAATGTTTTAAGGCTTTAGAACTTTCAGTTTGTGCTTCATTTTTGTATAAATTTGCACATTTTGTTTTTCCGATGTTTGAGAGTCAGATTAAATAATTAAACCTGAAAAATAACAGATTTACAAAAAGTGCTATTTTTTTTTGTTACGGGCATTCTAGTTGAATGTTCTAAAGCAAAAAATGTGATTTTGAAACCTTTTTTTAAGGGATAGATTAGGGGTTACTAACAGCTAACCTAATGTGAACCGGTTCAACCAAAATATCCCAATAATTTAAGGTTTTTTTCTATATGATATTAAATATAAACCACTTATATTTGGCAAATTTCACAAAGTGAAACGTTTGTGATATTTGCCAAATCTCTGAATTTATATTTAATAAAGTTTGATAATATTTCTCTATTTTTAATCTCATTTATGATTTCATATTACTCTTCAATTTTTTTTTTTTTTTCTAAAACAGAATACTAATAAAGAGTCACTATATTTATAAAAATTTTTTTGAGTTATTAAGCTCATTATAGTTATTATAAAAAGTTTCATACGACCTGCAAACATGACTTACGATAATATTTTAGAAAAAAATAATGGGTCGTCGATAAAAAAATTTAATTCATTTATTTCAATTTAATTGATGTTAAACCTATAAAAGATTTTTAAATCTCTTTTACGACATTTTGCCTTTTTTTTTTAATTTTTGCTATTTAAAAAAGTCTTTGTTTTTTCTAGAGATACAACACAAAGTTGTTCCTTTGTACGATTCATGTGGACCATCAGGTACCGACTCAGATTTACAAGCATTAGTTGTTAGTGCAGAAACTTTAAACGGTGCTGCAATTGTTAATAGTCAAAGAGCAACCAACGGTTTAAATAAACTCGATGTAATCAGTATTGATATTGTTTCAGAAAATGTTTTTGATCTGGCTAAAATTGTGAATGATGAACAAAAACTTAGTTCTTCATCGGAACGTATGCGTTTGCTAGGAACTTTAAGACGTCAACCGAACTGTGTCAGTCATGAAACCCAAAGCAAAAACCCATATGTCATTGGCGTAACCGGTGGCATGGCATCAGGAAAATCGGCCGTTGTAAAACGTCTTGAAGGATTGGGTGCTTTTACTATTAACTGCGATAAGTTGGGGCATGCAGCCTATTTACCTGGAGAAAATGCTTATACACTTATTGTAGAGCATTTTGGACATGAAATTTTAAACGACGATCAGACAATCAATCGCAAAAAATTAGCTGAAATAGTTTTTTCTGACGCTGAAGAATTAAATGTTTTGAATAATATTGTGTGGCCAGAAATACGAAAAATGCTGAAAAATATCATCTCGGAGCAGCGTGGAAAACATGAAGTTGTCGTGTTTGAAGGAGCGATACTCTTTGAAGCAGGATGGGACAAAGATGCCAATGAAGTATGGTGTTGCTTTCTGCCAAACGAAGAAGCTATTCGTCGGATACAAGTTCGAAACGGTTTAAGTGTGGATCAAGCGAAAAGTAGAGTTCAATCGCAAATTCCAAACGAAGAGCGTATTGAAAAGTCACATGTTCTTTTAAGCACTCTTTGGGAAGAAGAATTTACTCAGCGTCAATGTGAAAAGGCCTGGAGTTTATTGAAACAAAGAATTCCTAAAAATTGTAATACTCAAGGCCTGTAAACTTCTTTTAAAAGCTCCTAACATTACTACTTTTGTGAAAGTTTATTTCGATGTTTATGTTAAAAATATTTGTAAAAAAAAGTGAAACAGTTTCTAAAAAAAGATTTTAATTGTTTGAGAGTAGAAATATTGAATAAATAGTTGAACGCGACTTGTCTTTTTTTTTTTTTTTTTTTTTTTTGCTTTTTATGTAAGAATTGGGTGATGTGGCAAAATAAACTTTAGAACAAGAACCCAGAGGCTACAAATAAAATGAGGGGGTGGGGAGGTTGAATCCTTTAAAAGTACTCCTAAAAACAAACAACAACAAAACAGCTCCTCAAAACTAAAATTCACCCGACTGAAATGTCTTAAATACCCGACTATGTTCCTCTAAAAACCGACAATAACTTGAAAATCATCCTCTTTGGGGAGGGGGGCCACACACCCGTAAAATCGCCCCTCAAAGAACCGCTGTATGCAGAAACTAGCGTTTGTCTAACCGGAATTTAAGTAGACTTTGAAAAATATAGGTTTTTGGTTTTTTCTTACGACCTGAATTAAAAAGGCTGAGAATAATTTTTACTTTTATTTACTTGTTTTAAAATTGCATTTAATATTCTTTTAAAAATTAAAACCATAGAGTTTCAAATTTTCTAAAAGGTTTGTGATTCACGGTAAAATATAGAACTTCAAATATGTATATACTAAATATAGTAAATAGTATTAAAAATATATAAATATTGTAAAACTTAGGGTTGAAAATTTCGGTAAATTTTCAAAAAAAATTTATAAAATTAAACTTAAAGTTAAATTTATAAAATTCATTTATTTATTTCAAAAATATGCGTTTTATCATCGTATGATTTGGGTATTTTTTTTAATATTTCAACAACAAAAAAAAAAAAAATAAACACCCACAAGCGAAAAATGAGACTCAAATTAAAAGTACTTATTTTAACATGGCGGCGGTCGTTAAGACCTCAAAATTATTAGTTTTTTATCTTTAAATCAAAAAAAAACTGTAAATATTCAATCAAATCTCCTAATATATTCATAGTTTTGCAGATTTCAGTAACTTGTTGGGCAATTTAACAAATATTGGAAAATGGCCTATCCCTTTTAGAGTTGGGGGTGCAAATTATGTTAAGCTTTAAACTAAGCATGCTTGGCAATGAACATCAATATGCTTTGCAGGATAAAGCAGTTTTAGAAAATTTTGCTAATTAAGTTATTATAGTTGCTACTTAAAATTATATTAAAAAAACTGAACAAAATACCGAGAAAAGTGATTTTTAAAATTTTAATGAGGGCTAATGTTTTTATAATCTACTTCATCATATTTTACCATAAAATTCATAACAACTGCCTAAATAAGACAATAAAATTTCAAACCTAGTAAAACTTATACATGTTTTTGTTTCAAAAAAATTTTATTTATAATTTCTTTACATATAATGTGTAATGTAATAAAATACATTTATAATTACATACAATATGAAAAAGGTAGTGTACGAGTACCAAAGTAGCGCAAAGTTTGTTTTGTTGTATGAGATTTTTATATGAGAGTTTGTTTTGTTGTATGAGATTTTTATGAGACAAACTTTAAACTTGCGCTGAAGTGTACGCACGCGTTTGTTTTTTTTTCAACTGCTCGGTGTAGTTAAGGCACTTTTAAAATATTATAGCGTCTTTATGATATTTTGTTGACTACGACATATTTCCGTTAAATAGTCTGCTCTGCGAACTATGAAAAGACGAAAAAAATTAAAATATTAATTATAAATTTTGCGGTATCATAAAATATAAATGTAGCGAAAAAACCCAGACCGTGGAATTGATTTTTTTTTTTAAATCACCTTAAAATCACAATCGCTCGTCCAAATTTAAATAAGATTTTATATTGATCAGTTTTTTAGGTGAAATGAACATTATAGTTTAACAATATGACCTGTTCTGATCGTTTATTGGCAATTTTCCATAATTATAAGCTCTTTCTTGGTCGAAAATCCAGTATTTTTTGTGAAAATGGATAGAAAAAATGTGTTTTGACATCTATATATAGTTAATATACGTCAGAAACGATTAGAACTAGGATCAGTAGTAAATTAAGGAACTTTTTTAAAAGATTTTAACTAAATTTATGTTAATGCCGATGAGCGGAATTGATCTAAAGACTCTAAAATAGTGTTTTTTAGATACATTATTACGGGTAGTAAAAAGATTTTGAAAATTATATAAAAAAAAGAAAAGTTTCTTTAAATATTATAAAAACCTTAAGCAAAAAAAATTATAACATTTAAAGATCTTGTTTGGGGATAATATGCTGACAAAACCATGCTAATTCCAAATAAAAGTATTCAAATATTTTGTAAATCGCCTTCACTACACCGAGTGCTTGAAGTAATAAAAGTTCAAAACTTATTATTATAAAATTACAGATAATAATTATGAATATAAAAATACTGAAGAGATTATTAAAAAAATGCTGGAAGAACAAAAAAATATTATATTAAAGGAGACCAAAAGACTTCTCAAAGTACAAGAAAAAAACTAAAAGCAAAAATAACAAGCGCAAATATGAATATTTTTACTGAAAGGTTGGATAAATTAGAACTCGATCTATCTACAAACAAAATAAAAACTTCTAATATCGAAAAGGACCTAGAAGAAATAAAAGAAAGTCTAAACTTCCAAGAAGAGCTAACTAAACAAAAGATTGCAGAAATAAATAAACGGACGGAAAGTGAAATTAAACATCTTTATGAGCAGAAACGTTTTGAATCTATAAAAGAAACAAATGCCATTAAAAACATAAGTGAGAAACTGGTTGATCTCGAAAATCAGTCACAAAGAAACAACCTGAGGATTGAAGGTGTAAATGAATTACTTGGTGAAACCTGGAATGACTGTGAAAAAATTGTGAAAGACATTTTTTCAAAAAAACTAAAAATCCCGAACGAAATAATAATTGAACGAGCTAATCGTTCAGGTCCAAAAAAAGTAGGCAAACACCGAACAATCTTTATAAAACTGTTAAACTAAAAGATAAAAAAAGAATTCTCTTTTAACAGTAAAAATTTATGTGGAACTGGTATTTTTAGCAATGAAGATTTTGCTAAAGAAACAATTGAAACGCGAAAAAGACTCTGGGGTGAAGTACTAAACTTATGTAAAGAAGGTAAGTATGCTATTTTAAAGTTCGATAAGATCTATTGCAGAGAATTCTCAGATCCCGACACTAACTATTATTGTGATTTGCTCAGTGATTGTTCATATTATTATCCAAGTGAATTAGTAGTTTTTTTTGAAAGATAATGTAAAAGCAAGCGATAAAATAAAAATCCTTCACGTAAATATTAGACGCTTAAATCGCAATTTTAAAAATGTACTTAATTTATTAGAAGAAACTAAAAATATTTTTGATATACTTTGCTTAACAGAAACATGGATAACTATAAATGACCTAAAAATAGTTCAAATTTTAACCTTCCTCATTTTAAATTAATATCTAAAGAGAGGCAAACAAATAAACGCGGCGGTGGAATTTTTATTTACGTGAAAAAGAATATAATGCATTACGTTAGGAATGATTAAAGTGTTTCTGACGAGAATAAAGAAATTTTAACGATTGAAATTGTAAACAATCAAACAAAAAACATTCTATTAAGCTGCTGTTATCGACCACCTGATAGTCTGGGCAAAAACTTGAGCATTTTTTTTTTCATATTCAAAAAAAGCACAAAAGAAAAAAAAAAGTTTTTGTTATTGGAGACTTCAATATGAGTACTTTTTCTATGAGGATTCTAAAGTTAAAAAGTTTTATGACGAAATATTTGAATTAGGAGCAGTTCCTTTAATTAATCGACCGACAAGAGAATCAACAAGGCCGGCGCGATAGGGGTTTGATCCAACTCTATCATTCGTTTATCCATAATTATGTAAATTATGCAAATATTGCTTGAAACGTCTTTTTTCTCGTCAGAAACACGCATTTCGTATTATTAACTTTTCCGATCGTTTTACTCATTCAAAACCTTTATTTAACGAAATGAGAATACTTAATATTTATGAAGTGAATTTATATAATACTCTATGTTTTGTATATATGTGGAAAAATAACTTATCTCCTGACCTTTTTAAAAATATTTTTACTTTGAAACCAGACAATAAGTATGCACTGAGAAATAATAATTTGCTAAATCAAGTTTTATGTCGAACCAAGTTTAATCAGCTTTGTATTGATTATCGTGCACCTAATCTTTGGAATAAAGTTATTTTGCAAAATTTTGATCTACCTTCCTTTTTTTCTATTTTCAAAACTAAGCTTAAAAATCTAATTCTTTCTATGGAGAACGTTTTTCTATATTACTAGTGTTATGGGTTTATAACTATATACTTAGGTAAACTTATAACTAGTGTTATAAGTTTACCTAAGTATATAGTTACATTGAGATTGTACTGAAACTGATAGCTATGAATAGATGTATAAATATTTATTATTTGAGTTCGTATTGTATATTGCTTTATATTTTATATTGCTAGTATGTATAAATTTTCAGGTTTATTTTATTTTTTATTAAGTATTTGAAAAAACAAAAAACAAAAAAATTTTATTACGGTTTTTATAACACGGTTTTGTAAAAATTAAAAAATAAAAATTAAAAAAAAGTAATAAATAAATTATGTATAAATGTGTATGTGTATCTTTGTATTTATGTACGTATACTAGTATATATATATGGATGTATATGTGCTGTTAGTATGGGTGTGTGTGTGCTTGCAGTCTATGTATATTCAAAAACAAAAACAAAACAAAAAAAACTCTGGCGTAGGAACACCCAACTACAACTGCTTGTCAATCGTTGAGCTGGATTAGGATTCGGTGATACCACCTATGATCGCTTGTATGGTAAAGATGCAAACACAATATTTAAAAAAAAAAAACTATATTAGAACAAGAGCTAATTATCAACAAGAATGTCCACATCACCCTGATTTTATTTTCTACAATTTTAATGCAAAAAATGTTCAATTCAATTATATATATTTTTTTAATCTATTCGATTTATATTAACATTACTAACACACTATGACGTCATCAAACACATCAATAAATATACTGAAGTATATTAATTATTTTTAACTATTCTTTGCAACGGCTTATATAATTATTTATCAAAACAGATCCAATTCAAAAGCGAATAAACATTTACAAAAAATCAATAAAAATAAATTCATTTAAAGCGTTTGATTCCAGCGGTTCTCTACGACAAGACCTCAAGGACTTCTTCGAGTTTCCGCATTCTTTATTCCTAATTTTTATTGTTATATTTATTGCTATATTTCTATTGTTAACGAAATCTTTATGTAAATATTATTTATTTCTTTTTTATGTATTACGTTTTATTCACATAAAGTTATAATAGAAATTGTAATAATTGTAATAAAATATATATATATATATATATATTTCTATGATATATGAGGACGCTTTTCAATAAATTTTAAAATGTAAGCCTTCTTCATCCAAAAAAGAAAGTAATAATTTGTTATTTAATTTATCTTAAACTAAATTTCTACCCATTGAAAAAAATTTCTTGGTTTTTATAATTAAGGATATGTAAAATTTACAGCCCCAAATTTTCATTCGCTAATCTTCTAGAGTTAATTTTAGTCAAAATTTAAAATCTTTTATCAATAATAAATTTAGTAAGATTTAAGACTTTAAACTGTTGAATTAGTTGATTTTAGATTTTAATATTTTTAAAATTTTGCGAATCGTCCTCATATGTCTAAGGTATAAACATATCCAAGTCTTATTTAACTTCCTAATAAATTCAGCCCACAATGTGTATTTATAATTTAGCAGTATTAAATGTTATGTATTAGATGACCTAAATTAGCTGAATTTATACCTAAAATATTAAATTAGGTATTTAATAGAAGTTATGTACTCATACTAAATTTAGATTGCAAAATACAAATAACACACGCAGCTTATAATACCCATCTAACAGGGCAAACGAAGCCGGGAGAGGGGGCACGCCCTCCCTTTTACCCCCACACACACCCTTTTTTGCTAAAACAAAGTTTTTTTTTTTTTTTTTGGATATATAGGACTTTTTGTTGAAACTGGCGATTGTGTCCCATCACCTTGAAACCCGTGTCGTAGGCCATGTCTAATACTTGAGAATTAAAATTTAGATCAAAATATTTGAGATTCAAACATTTAAGATTCGAATATTGCAATGCCAATTTTCATACTATGTGTTGGGTTGTTAGCGATAATTCAGGATTAAAAGCAGTTAAATATTATGTAATATTAATGTTTTTTAGTTGGATACATTATTGAGTAAAAATTAATCATTTATTCTGGTTTTTGCAATCGCAGGGTAGGTCCAGGATTTCATTGTACATAATTTATGTAACTTCAACATTCTAAGCTCTATAACTTCAAAGATCTAAACGCTATAATTTTGTATGAATGTACTTATGTCATATAAGGACATTTTGCCGGAAATTGCGCTGATTCAAGCCTGAGAACAAAAGTACTTTAAAATGTATAATAATAAAAGGCCTCACTTGCCTAACGTGAGCTTATTTATGAGTAATTTAGAACAAATATTAAAAATATCCTGAATTAGACGCTGAATATTCAGCGACGGTTATAGGACTTTATTAAAATGATGAGTCAGTAGATAATTTATTGTAGTTTTGTTTCAAGAGTAATTAATATAACAATTGCAATGTAATACAAACGAGTAACAATGTTTAATTTGAGCAGCCGTGGCGCAGTGGTTAGAGTTCTGGCTCAGAACTCAGAGGTCCGAGGTTCGATGCCAGCTCTAGCCCAACAAGCGACATTGGTACGGAAGGAGGCGTAAACTTCCCGTTAAATGCTCACCCGCGGTGCTCTATGATAAGACCGTAAGGACTTCTGGGAGCACCTAAATACATACAAAAAAAAAAAAAAAAAAAAAAAAAATATTTGTATTAAAAACGAGTATAATTTTATGTATTACAAATGAGTAATAAACACCATGTGTTACAAACAAAAATGCATTTGCCATTAGACAAATCTAGACAACTGCTTAGGGGCGTCAACCATAAACAGTCTCTAGGTTTTTTATTTTTTTTTATATATGTAGCTTTTTGTGTAGATGTGTAATTTTTTGAATTGCAAATTTTTGGGCGACGATTATTCATATGCCTATGGGCGTCTTCAATTTCGCAACGTTACAAATTTTCTTAAAAACATTTTGATTTCAATTTTTATGTGTTTAAGTTTCAATAATACACTAATTTAATCACTATATCACTATTAAAGGTTATTATAAAGATTTGTGGCTAAGTTTTCGTAACTTGTTTGCACTTACGGCAGAGTCACTAAAACCTGTTTGATGTGCTTATTCCCATTAATACGTGTTTCTACAAAGGGACAAACTGGAGATATTTACGATTTACTTATTTATACTTTCTATTGTTCGTAATTAAAGAATACTTTTGTTTTTGTTATTTTTTTAGTGTTTTGTTAATTTCGGAAAAAGCGAACTTTGCTTTTCTTAACTGATATTATTTAGAAAAGATAACCGCAAGTTAAAAATAAATGTTGAAAATAAATAATGTAAAATCTCATGAAGTTACTATTACACAATTGTTAAAAAAATAATAATAATAAATAAAAAACTTAACCTAATCTTCATCCCCAACACTTTGCTCAATAGAACTGATCTTAACTTATCTTACAACTGCAATATTGAAAGCGTAAATTTACTAAAAAATAATAAAAAGTTTCAAAAAGTTGGTTTTTATTAACTCTTTTTTATTTAAATTTTTGGACAGGATTGAAAAGTCTTGCTTTTCGAAAGAAATGACCGTTATAAATTAAATTAGAAAAAAAAAACTAAAAACGGTTAGAAGGGGGCAATTATACTATAAGTACTACCTATAAATACCTACTTAATTTTGATTAAAGACAGAGTTAGTATAATTTAAAAATTTTAGTAATAGGTATTCAAAATTAGAGGTGTACCAAATACTTTTGCCGGATATGAAGAAAAAACAAGCCTTGCCATTCTACATTAAACAGCGTTCAAGATTTAAAAAAATATAAAATCAAGAACTGGTATAATACAGGTATATGCGTTAATAACGTATAAAGAAAAATCGTTTTTACAGACAAATTTTTGTTTTTTTAAACTACTATTTTCTATACTTCATCAGCACTTATCCCATGTCATACATATTTTCTCTAAACTTTTTAAAGTAAGATCTTGAATACTATATATTGTAGACTGGCAAGACTCGTTTTTTTTTCATAAACACTTATAGAACTTTAGATAAGTTCAATGTCCGGCATTTCCGGCAAAAATATTCGGTACACCTCTATTTAAAACTTGTGTTATGGAAGGAACGATAGGTTCCTTCCGTGACACAAATTTCAATGGTTATAACAAAAAATTTAATATTCCATTAACAGCATCATTACCTGAAACTAAATAGGTACTTATAGGTAGCAAATAAGGGCCCCATTCTAACGGTTTTAGTTTTTTTTTAATTTTAAATTTAGTTAATAAAGGTCATTCCTTTTGAAAAAACACACTTTTTAATCCTGCCCTTTTGTTTTTAAGTTATCTTTCAGATAATCCTCTAAACTTGAGCTGCATATTGTTAGTTACCCGCTAATGTTCTGAATCTACCAACTGAAAATACTTCTTATACTATAGACATAAAGAAAAATTAAGGCCTTGGTCTTAGTCTTGACCTTGAAACTTTTAGTCTTGGCCTAGGTATTGGCCTTAAAAATTTTGGCCTTGGGTTTTAATTAGATGAGAGCAGTTAATTACTGCGTATAAATTTACCTCACCTCATGAAGTCAGTTCAAAAAATACAAAGATTACTATCACCTCATGAAGTCAGTTCAAAAAATATAAAGCAACTTAAACTTCACTGCTTAGAAATCTTAGAAATTTTTTGGTATGCTTATACTACCTAGAAGTTCATATTACCCAAATCTACCCTATATATACATATATATGCCTCTTGTATACATATATATGCCTCTATATACATATATATGCCTCTATATATACATATATATGCCTCTCCACTTGCCTCAGAAACGTAAGATCCGTGGTTCAAACCCCACCTCTGGGCAAGTCTTGCGACATTGGTTCGGAAGGAGGCGTGAACTTCCCATTAAATACTCTTCCGCGGTGCTCTGTGATAAGACCGTAAGGACTTCTTGGGGCACCTTAATCAACTTAAAAAAAAATATATATATATATATATATATATATATATATATATATATATATATATATATATACATATATATATATATATATATATATATATATATATATATATATATATATATATATATATATATATATACTATTGTTTCGTAAGTATGTCTAGTATGTAAGTATGTTACAGGCCCGACGATACCGGGGGGCCAGGGGTACGTACTTCCCCCCCCCCCTAATTTCTTTTTTTACTTTTTTAAATTTTAGGTAAAGAGGACTTTTTTAAGAATTGACGAATGTGCCCACCCCCATTTTGAAACTCATGTCGTTGGCCCCTGTGTCCATATATTATTTATCGTAAGTATGTCCAGTTTGTTTCATTGTACAAACAGGTATTAATAGGAATCAATCAGGTTTTACTGACTTTGCTGAAAGTACAAACAAGATACGAAAACTCAGCAACAGATCTCTATAATAACTTTGAATTATTGATATAATGATTAAATTAGTGTTTTATAGAAACTATGCTGGGTCCAAAATTTTTGGAATAAGGTACCACTACTCATGATCCACTTAGATATTTAGGTACCCAAAATTTTTTCCTTAAAAACACAGAGGTTATAAAAAAGTAGCAAAAATGCTCATATTACCCAGACCACTTGGCAATATGAGCACTTAAAATTAGCTCAAAAAAGTAATATTAAATAAATAAAAAATACCAACCTGACAATTGGAACTAATTTTTTGAATATAATGATTCTTTATTAATAAAACTTATCATTAAAAGATCAAATTTTAAGCCACTTTTTGTTGAAACAAAATTACTATGTTTTCCGCAACAACAACAAAAAAGTTCGTTATATTTTCAATTTTATTAACTCAAACCTTTGAACGGTAAAATTTCAAATTTTTTGAATTTAAATTACAGAAAAATATTTTAAGTTTGTTTAGTTTTTATTCAAAAGCAATTAAACCACTGCTACTTTAGGACTTTAAACTAGGTACACTGATACTTTAGGACTTTAAACTAACTTAAATGAAAAACATTTGAGCATGCTCATATTACACAAAAATCTTTAAATAAAGTCAAAATATGTTTCTATGCATTGTTTTTCAAACAAAAATGGAATAGATTTCTAGCTAACATACTTTTCTTTATGAAAAAATAAATTTCATTATTTTAGCACTAACATTTTGTGCCACAGATTTATTGATCTATATTGATGCATATTATTTTAAAAAAGCAAAAAATTTAACAGTGTTTTAATTAGATGATAGCCGCTAATTACTTCATATAAATATTCGCTAATTATACTGATTCATGCTATCACCACATAAAGAACATTCAAAAAATACAAAGCAACTTTAACTTTACTGCTTATATCTAAGAAATCTTTAAGTATGCTCATGTTACCAAGGTACTCATATTGCCCTAATATACTCTAATTGCTGATATGCTGAAGTTTTAATTATGTGTTTGCGATTTATTTCCGTCGTCTAGCGTTTCAGTCGTTCCGCCGTCTAACGTCGAGTTTTTAATTATGCAAACTTTTATTAAATATTCAAAATATTGTCATGGTTATTTCACAGGGGGGGGGGGCTGAGGTGACTGTGAAATAATGTTGACAATGTTTTAAATATTTAATGAATGTTAAATCTCAAGGTAAGTAAAAGTAAAAGTAAAGTTGCTTTGTATTTTTTAATCAACTTTATGTGGTGATAGCAGGAATTAGTATTATTAGCGAAAACTTATATGCAGTAATTAGCGACTTTCATCTAATTAAAACGCTGTTAAATTTTTTGCTTTGTTAAAATACTATCATCACGCACGAATAAATCTGTGGCGCCCACCTCCCCCTCCTTACTTTTTTTCGAAAAGGTCTTTTTTTTTAAAAGGAAAATCTAGATATGGAGGACTTTTCACAAATTGATGAGTGTGTCCCCCCTCCTCCCCCCCTCCCTACTTCGAAAATTGTGTCGTCAGTCCTGTACCAATGTCATTTTTGGAGGGTTTTGAGTTAATGGTTGAAACGCATTGTTTACACAGTTTTCTATTTAATGACAAATCTCCAATACTTTAAAGTGATCAAAAAAAAAACTTTATTTATTAGTTTATTCTCTTACATCACAAAAAAACGAATGAAAGAAAGTTTTTTTTATTCGTTTAGTTGTGATTTAAGAAAGAAAATAACAAACTTGTTTCAGTTTTTTATGCTTTTCTAAAACTAAAAAAAATGACCTATGCGCATGTTTAAAATTTATCTTTAATTTTTAACTATTAATAAACGCAATTTCAGATTTTTAAATTTTTTTTGAAAGTTTTATCAATTTATTTAAAGTTTTTACAGAGCCGTTAAAAAAAAGAGCCGGTTTGTGTAGCTTATTATGCAATACAAAGAGCTATATCATAAAAAAATATTATATAAAAAAAGCAAAATAGAAACAGAATTATATTATAATGAAAAAAGTAAATCAACTGACCGATGATAGGAGATATTCTAACTCGACCGGACATTTAAGAAAAGCTTAAACTAAAAACATTTAGAAACTTTTAGATCTGTTTTTTCTTTAAAGATTATTATTGTTATTATTATTATTATTATTATTATTATTATTGCTATTATTATTATTATTATTGCTATTATTATTATTACTATTATTATTATTATTATTATTGCTATTATTATTGCTATTATTATTATTATTGCTATTATTATTATTATTATTATTATTATTATTATTATTATTATTATTATTATTATTCTTTTCGAGGTTCTAATTAAATACAAACACTATTAATAATATTTATTGTTCAGAACACATACGCTAAATTTATATTGATAGGTGGCGTTTAGATACAGTTATTCATGTATAGATACTATTAAATGTAAGAACGTATTAAAACAAATACCGTGGCGCAGTGGTAACCCAGAGGTCCGAGGTTCGATGCCGGCACTAGCACAACAAGCGGCATTTTTACGGAAGGAGCCGTAAACTTCCAGTTAAATGCTCTCCCGCGGTGTTCCGTGATAACACCGTTAGGACTTCTGTGAGCACCTAAATAACCTTAAAAAAAAAGAAAAAAAAAGAACACAAGTTCCTCTATGAAAGTTAATATTACTTAAATAACTAGTTGACGTGGTGCGGGAGAGGATGGGTGAAATGTCTGATTTCACTAGATCTTGGCGCCAGCCATGGGTCCGCGAAATAATAAAAAACAAAAGGAATGCAACTAATATCTTTTTTTTTAAATAGTTACTTTTTTTAACATAAATATTTTTTACTAAAATTATTATACAAAATAAAATCTTACATAATTATGCATAATAAAATCTTACATAACAAAATTTTTAAAAAGTTTAAAAACGTAAAATAATAAAGTTTTTATATTTGTTACGTTTTTTTGCAATATCTTTTTTAGTAATAACTTCGTTCAAAAAAATATATATTTTTATGAAAAGCTTCAATTTTTTAATATCTTTTGTTTGTGTAATTTATAAAAATATATATTTTTTGAATTGATAAGATTTAAAAAAATTGCACCACAAGTATTGTAAAACAAGTAAAAACAACTTAAAAATTGACAGGCGCTCGCGTGACGTCCTTATCGAGAGTAGTTTGATGGGCCTATGATCGTATAGTGAGTCCCGTCTTGCTAACAAATCGAATTCAACACTTATGCCCCCGCTTCATACTGGAGTGCGGGTAATTTTTGCAACCTCTTGTAAAGAGGTCTTAAAAGATATAAATTAATACAAGCCAAGAGCCCGTAAAAAGAAAATTAAAGAAACCTTGTGAGTAAGTCCATAGTATTAAGAAATAGATTTCTTATCTATTTCTTAAGACTAATGAAATTTTCTAGAACATTCTAAAATTTTTGTAATTGTTTTGTGACTCATAAGAATTTTGCAGACAAAACTTTTCGGAAAATGTTACTCAAACTTTTGAGAGCTGATTACGAAGTAGATAATATTACTTTATGGGTCACAAAATAGGGAATATCGTAGGCAGTGCCGGCCTTAGGGGAGGGGGGGGAGGTTGGGCGCCGCCCAAGGGCGCCAGGAAACTGGGGCGCCAAACGTTGTATGCAAACTTTAACAATATAATAAATAGAAAAAATAAATCAAGGGATCGTCCATAAATTACGTAACGCAAAGTTTCACAAAAAGCAAAACAAAAAAAGATCAAAAGTTTTCCCTCGCACAGTCTTAATTTAAATAAACAATGAAAATAGGAATGAAAATCGCCGCGTAAAAGAGCCTAATATCTCCTACTCCTGTTCTTAAAATATATTTTGCGTTGCGTAGTTTTCGGACGATCCCCAACCTAAATTTTTTCGATTTCGATTTTCGATTTTTTTTTATTTTTTCGAATGTTTGTTTTTTTTATAAAAATAATTTCTTTAAATAATTTATTTATTGTATTATTACACTGTTAAAAATTGTTTATGCAAAATTAATAATTTGATTAAAAGTGTTTCAATCATAGCATATATTTTGTTACTTAAAATCATTTTTTTAATTGTATCTTTCTCGGCGCCAATTATTTTGCGTTCCATTTATTTAAAGTTTAAATTTTAAACATTATTTTCGGTACGAGTTGCGAGCGCGTCGTTTATTAATTTGTAGAAGAAATTTAAAGTTGTATTTGTGATTCAAATTCAGTTTTTGTCAAGTTTTCAAATTTTGCGGTAATATAAAGCAAGTAAGTATAAATAATGAAATTGTTTATGAATTATTAGCTTGCGAGTAATTTTTTATTTTAAAATTTTAGACAAATAGAAACTGTCAGCAGCAATCAATGGAGAGTACTCATAATAAAGAAAAAAATGTTTTTAAAACTCATAATAATAAGAAACCATCTGGTGCTCAATACAGAAAACGTAAAGCAGAAAAAGTTGATAATTTGAAGAAAAATTATAAAAAACTTGAAAATTTTTTTACATCGGAAAATAGTGATTGTAATAAAATAAAAGAAGGAGAAAATGTTGCGCATGTACTAGTGATACATCAACCAGCGATGAAGAAGACGGAATAGTGTCAGTTGGAAATGTTCACTACGATGAAAAATATATCGATAACGAAAATGATGATGGCCAAGATGGTGATGTAAATGATCGCACCAAAGAAACAGCAATCGATTACTCAGACTGTGGTTTGTGGCCAATTCATCGCAACATTCAATTTGTTGATTATGTAATTAATATAGGTGCAATACAAGTGAATTTGGACACATATCCACGCGATAATAGAAGACGACATTTTTCAAATGCTTATTACAACCGAAAACTTTCAAATGGTGAGGTTATTTCACGACGTTGGCTTGTGTACTCAGTTTCTAAAGATGCGGTATTTTGTTTTTGCTGCAAACTTTTTGATTTTAACATGAATTTAAAGTTAAACGGAAATGGATTCAATAAATGGAAGAATTCAACAGAAGCATTAAAAATTTACGAAAATGGTAAGTCACACAGAATTGCTTATCGACTATGGATTGAGACAGAAATACGAATGAAAGCTGGTGAAACTATTGATAAACAAGAACAAAAACTAATCGAAAAGGGCAGTTTAAGGTAGCGAAGTGTTCTTGAACGATTGATGAACATTACTTTATACTTGGCAACAAATAATATGGCCTTCAGAGGTTCTTCTGATAAATTGTGTGCAGTTAATAACGGCAAATTTTTAGGATTGGTACAATTACTCGCTAAATTTGATCCTATCATGTTAAACCACGTCACGCTAGCTCTTAAAGGAGATATTTCTGATCATTACTGTGGAAAAACCATTCAAAATGAAATGATAGATATAATGGCATCAAAAGTAACCAACATAATTATGTCCAAAGCTCTAAAAAGTACATATTATTCTATTATTGCTGACTGCACACCTGACGTATCTCACAAAGAACAACTCTCGCTTACGATTAGAATTGTAAATATATCAGAATATCCTATAAAAATAAATGAACACTTTCTAGGGTTTTTCAATGTTAACGACACGACAGGTCTTGGTTTAACAGAAATCATAATTGGAGCTTAAAAAGATTTTGGACTGAATATAAGCTTTTGTCGAGGGCAAGGTTACAATAACGGTGCAAATATGAAAGGTAAAAAAATAGGTCTACAAAAGTGAATATTAGATTTGAATTCTTTGGCTTGTTACCTTCCATGTGGAAGTCATTCTCTCAATTTGGTTATTTGTGACGCAGCGCAGTCTTCACTAAATTTCATTAACGTTTTTGGCATAATACAAAGATTATTCACATTATTTTCTGCATCAACTTCACGCTGGAATGTTTTACTTAGTCATACAACAAACTTCACTCTTACACGATTATGCGACACTCGTTGGGAAGCCAAAATTGAGAGCCTCAAAGCTATCCGATACCAAATAAGCAGCGTACATGATGCTTTAATTACTATATATGAAACTGAAACCAAAACTCCCGATATTGCACACGAAGCGCAAACATTAGCAGAACAATTAAAAGACTATAGTTTTTTAGTTTCTTTAATTGCATGGTACAATGTACTATTCCAAATAAACGTTGTTAGTAAAGCAATGCAAGCCAAAGACATGGATCTAGTACAGTGCGCTGAAATGTTGAAAAAATGCATCACATTTTTGGAAAATTACAGAACGTTTGGCTTTAAACAAGCAACGGTTGATGCCAAAGAGTTAGCTGAAGAGTTGAACATCGATGGAATATTTAGGCCGCTTAAAAGAGTGCGACGAGTGAAACGTCATTATGATGAAAATGCTTTTGACGAACCAATTCAAAATCCCGAGAAGAAACTTGAAGTGACATTTTTTAATCCTTTATTAGATACATGTCTGTCGTCAATAAATGAAAGATTTGAACAACTTAATGAATATGTAAATATATGGAGTTTTTTATTTAATTTGGATAATTTGCCCATCAAGAATGAACTTTTAAAATTGTGTAAACAATTACAAGAAAAATTAACTGTAAATACAAAATCAGAAATCGATGGTGCTTTGCTATGCGACGAACTAATAAGTGTGCAGTTTTTTATAAAAGATAAATTAAGCAATGTTGAAAATGAAATAAATACAAAAGAGATGACACCATTTTTTGTACTGAACCTTATTAAAAAACATTGTCTACAAGAGTTATATTCAAATACATGGATTGTTCTGCGCATTCTTCTTACAATACCTGTTACTGTTGCTAGTGGAGAACGTAGTTTTTCTAAACTGAAGTTAATCAAAACATATTTAAGAAATACCATGTTGCAAGATCGACTTAATTCTCTATCTATGTTATCAATCGAGCAAGATATAGCTGAAAATTTATATTTTTCTAGTTTGATAAGAGATTTTGCGGACAAAAAAGCTAGAAAAGTTAGATTTTAAAATTTAATAACTCTTGTTTATATAGTTAGAGGATTTATTATATGTTTAATAAAAACATTTGTTATTTTTAAAGCAGCGTTGCGTTGTCTATTTATTTAGTCACTCATTTCTATAAACCCATATCATGAAAAGTCTAAGTTTATAATTTTATTAAAAATTAATTAAGAAACTTGATGCACATGGATCTCTTTGCATTAAACTATATATTCCCTTTAGCACTCTTGTTCATCATTTTAGAGCATTGGTCTCGTTGTTAATGGTAACAACCTACCCATATATACCTAGGGGCGCGTTCACAAGTTTTGCCCAACCTGTCAAAAAAGCTAAGGTCGGCGCTGATCGTAGGTATTGGAATATAATTCTTATTTTAATTTTAAAAATGTTAATGATTATTTTAGTAACCTTTTTTTTTATAACACTTTTTTTTTATAACACACATTTTCTTGATAAATTCAAAACGCGCTTAGGCGATGAAGTTACAAAACGTAATGAAATAGTAGCCTGAAGATTATTACCATTCAACTTAAAGAGGGTTTTCATGCGTCCTGGGGCTAAATTAATTAAAAACTTTTTTTTACAATTTTTTTAATTATCAAATTATCTTTTATTCTCTAAGAAAAATATTTACATATTTTATGAGATATTTTAAAGTTAAAAAATTTCATTTTTGTTAATTTATTTTTACTTTTTTTACCTTCTAATCAAAATTGAGTATAACTTTAAATAAAATATCAAAATGTAAGTTGAGAACAAGCGGAGAAGGACTATGTTTTAAAATAAAAGAGAGTTTAAGATAATAGGATGGGTGATTAAAAAAAAGCAAATGCTTACTTTGTAATTGGTTAGCTTTACGTTAATAAAAATTTTAACAATTTTGCTTAAGTTTTTATTCCCATATAGCTAAGCAATTACTAAGTAAATTGCTTAACTTTACGTTTATAAAATTTGAGCAAAACTGCTGAAGTTTTTATTCGCGCAAAACTGACCAATTTAATGAGTAAAAGCATTTGCTTATTTTTATATACCCGGCCCACTGAATGGTCTATAAATTACGCTAAATATATAAAAAAAAGAAGAATATCTTTTATGCGGCGATTTTTATTAAGGTATTTTATTCATTTTTTCAATTCTCTGTGGCTCTGCGAGGGACAACTTTTGATCTTTTTTGTTTTGTTTATTAGTTAAATTTAGCGTTGCGTAATTTATAGACGATTGAAAAAAAAAGTACGACCTATAATATAAATACGTTTAAAATTTCAATAATTTTTTCTTGAGTAAAGTAGAGCAAGGTCACCATATTTAATATGTTCATAAAATTTAATTTTTGATCTGAAAACACTGTCTTTTTCTATTTTTACTTGTTCAAGATTGTTCCTACTAATTTTGGTAAATTTGATTTTCATATTTTAAAATTTGTGAAAAAAATTTTCATATTTTAAAATTTGTGTTGACAAATCTTGAGGTTTTTAGAAAACTATTTCAAAATTTAAATTAAAAAAGGCTTTTCAAAATATTATAATTATTTTAGAATAAGTTTTCATTATGTAAATGATTTTGAAGGATTACATTCTGTGTTTGCTGTTGATTTTAATACTAAACACAGCATTAAAACAACAATAAATATATTGTCTTCGTCGACTTAATCACTAAATGAAGAATTTAATGATACTTAGAAGACTTTTAAGTTGTTGGCAGGAATTCCTCCTAAATAAAGTCATATACAGAATTGCTTTAATGTTAGCAGTGATAAAAAGGCTCTAAGTGCATAAATTTTTAATTAGAGTCTACGCCTTTATTATTTTTGTTCAATTTTTTATTTTATAGTTTAGAAACTTAATCATTAATGTGGAAGACATTTATAGCAGATTTTTTGTATTATTTTATTATTAATTAAAATAAAAATTCATATAATAATAATAATATTATTATCAAAGACATTAACTTCATAAATTAATATCATTGTTTTTGATAACATTGTTCGTGATGTAATAATGTAGAACAGCATATTTTGAAATGTTTGTTTGTAAAAAATTGATGCAAATGGTTTGAGTGGTCTCAGAAAAGAATTTTTGAAATTATTTAAACATAATATTATAGAAAAATATTTTGATAATAGAATACTTGATTTATTCCCTGAGGAAACTATGTTGGTGGTTTTGTGTTTAAAAGACTTTAATGTTTTTAAATCCAGTAAAGCAATCTAAAGTTGTCTTACTACCCTCATTTACCTTTTTTGTATGATTTTTTCCTCTTGAATAATATTTGAAAGGTAAAACTTTGTCATTTTTGTGGTAAAATTGATATTCTGAGCTTAAAATTCATAGTGGGGAAAATATTATATTATCTATAAATGATATATATTTTTTTTGTTTTCAACACAACGAGAAATTAAAAATCCTTTTTTCGAAAAACTTAAAAGTTAAACATTAAAAGTAAAACATTAAAATTAAAAGTTACCAACAAGATCTAGTAGGTAACTTTGAATATTGTCTAAATGACTTTTCTAAAATGTCGTTTTCACAAAGAACATTGGCTGAAGAGACTTTATCGTAGCTAGACCAAGTCTGATAGGAAGAGGAAAAAGTTCTATATGTATAATCGGGACTGGTAGTTGGAAGAGCTGGAGCCACAAACATGAGAGCATTAGGCAGACTAGTCACAAGAGTTATTCAAAAAGGTATTCAAGCAAAGTAAGGAGCACTACACGAGGAAATCCAAGGGCAAGAAAATTTATAATTATATAACAAGGATGTTTTGAAGCTTCAATCCAAAGGTGTCCAGAATGAGAAGTAAGAGAATGGTCAAAGACGGTCTGCTTAAGGTGGCCAAGGAGCTCTTGTTGTACTAATCTATGATGTCTGCCATTTTCATGTCAACAAACTTCAATTTTTTTGTTAGATATTTATATTTATAATATCTTTATTAATATTTTTAATATATTTATAAATATATTCTCAATAAACATGTATCATATATATTCAAGTCATAAATAGTTTACCATTTTTAGAAAATTCTATTCCCGTTGTGCAGCGCAACTCGCAATTCGGAACAGCGCAACATCCTTATAAGGCATAAATTAAGAAATTTAATTATGTCTTATAAGGATGTTTAAAGCTTACATAGAACTTAATTAACTTAATTAGAAAAATTTTTTGGATCTGTTTCTGTTGAGATTTAATTTTTAGCCATGGATATAAATGATTATACAAAGTAATATAAATGATTGTTTTTGAAGGAAAAATGCCTTCAAATATAACCATTTATATTACTCCGATAATTTGAACTATATGCAGAAGTTAGCTAGTTTTTATTTTGCGAGTTTCCACATGTTGCGAGTTTTTTGCCAAAAACATGCAAAAGGGATGCTTAGAGCCCTTCATTAAAATAAAGCCTTTTTTGGGCCAAATTGATAAAGTACTTGAGGTCGCCTTCTTTATGAGCAGATGATTGCTTATTTATCAAGGTACCCTGTAAAATCTTCTAATTTTGCTATGAAAAGTTCCATTTGCATAATTGATAACCTGAAAAGTAGATGGTATTAAAAAATTTAAACATAGTTGATATTAGTAATAACAAAAATATCTTACTTAAAAAAACATTTTTTTTTTTTTTTAAGTAAGTTATTTTTTAATAAATCTTTTATTGTTAGCATTCGTTTTTTTGATTGTGTTCAAGTTATTTTCAAAGTAAATCTGTTAAGCTATTTGGAAACAATCATTTTTTGCATAAAGATAGAGCAAAAACTTAACCTAGTATAACTGAAAACTTCTTCAATAATCTTGAAAAAAATATAACCAATACTTTACCTGACTAAATCATCAACTATGATGAGACAAACTTGAGCAAAAATCATCGAGCCCAAAAATGTATTTTTATACATAGCACTAAGTATCCTGAAAGATTTTTAAACACTTCTAAAACCTCAACAAGTTTAATGTTTGCTGTAACTGCTAATGGTACTATTTTTTTTACGTTGTTTATAAATCATAACATTTGTGGGATACTTGGATTGAAGGTGTAACAGAAGTAAAAGTGGATGGTTTAATATTTTTTGTTTTGAAGATTAGTTTTTCAAAATAATTATTCCATTTGTACAAAAAACATGGAAGAAAATAAAATTATCATTGGTGACAATTTACGTTTGTTTTTATTATATTAGCTGAATTTATATGATTTTTGAAAATATCGATAATTTGATAAAAAAACAATTCATATAGTTCTGCGTTTCCAAATTGCCCGGATGTCGGGGTTTTTTTGAAAATCGACAAAAAATGACTTCTTAATTATAAAGTATAACTTGTCATATCTTGAACAAAAGTGTAGCTTAAACTTAGTTCTGGCCAAAATAACTGGTTTTTAAGATTGTAATTTACTATAAAACAAGTTAACATAAATTATATTTATATTTCTTTTCAAATAGCCCCGATTTACGGTAATAATATTCAGAAAACTCCCGAACACGTTTTGTTTCACCCGAACACTCAAAGTAAAAACGTCTAATGTCCGGCTAAAATGTGTACGGGTATTGATCATTGATCCAAAAGACTTTTTTTTGTTAAAAAAAAAAATATTTTTGTTAATTTTGGCCACAGGTAACACAATTTTGACTTTAAGTATATCAAGTCATCAAGTCTATTCGAATAATTCAATACTTTACGTGTATAGTTTTGTAATCTTTTTAATATTGTGAGTTCTATTTTACGGGTCATGGTTTATGTTATAACATATAATTTATATACTGTTATTACATAGACCAGGACCATTTAAAAAGAAACTAAAATTATTGAAAAGCTTATAAAAGTATACAGCTTTTATATTTTAAAATTTGTCTGAAAAAGACGAATATTAAGCAATTATTGTGATTTAATACATCTAGATTAGTACCAACGAATCTATGATTACAGAAGATACCAACAAATCTTTCCAGATGATAGATTCGTTAATACAAATATAATTTTTTCATGATAGATTTTCATCAAATAAAACTTCTAAAATCACAAAATATTACCCAGCTTTTTATAGTTTTACTAATTTTGTCATATTTAATATTTTCTCAATTTCTGCATAAATCGTAAAGTTTTTATGTTTTAAGTCTATTTGGGATTTTCAGTAATTAGAGTTTTGAAGGTAAAACATGTTTCCACCTTTCTCAATTTTTGAAGGTAAGACATGTTTCCACCTCTCACATTTCTAAAACTGAACAAGATCAATTTCAGAACTGTTCTTGTTCAGCTTCAGAATTGTGCTTTTTCCCCCTGCATGTCAGGAAATAGCTAAACCAGCAAAATATTTACTAACAACAAGTCATAATTATGGTTACATTAAACTGGTTACTAGTGATTCATTCCAAATTTCTGAGAATGCATTTGGAGTACTTTGAAAAATACTGCATTCTCTGAAAAATTTGAAAGAAAAATACTGCACAAAGATATTAAATAAAAGAGATATTAAGCATAAACAATTTTTTTTTAATTTTTGAAATAAAGTCCCCACAGATGACAACATCAGTAATGATTCACGTTTAATTGTAAACATCCGACTGAAGGTTTGGGCGGGCACTATCTACTTATGAGAGAGAGAGATACATATAATTATATGTAAATTATATTTTTGCTTAAACTAGAATTGTTATTTGAAGTTCTCAATATATGTATGTACTGAACCCTCAAATTATGACTACTTCACTATGATGGCATTTCATGTGTATCAGTATTAAAACGTCAATAGAAATATTCATAGATATTCAGATCAGTTTAGAAAGACAACAGTAAAACATTCAATTTATGCTTTCTCTTTTAGCTAGTTAAACTTAAGATTTTAACAGTTTAAAACTACTAAAAAAACTTACCTGAAAATTGGCACTATTAAGTATTTTTTAGGTTAAACATGATTTATGTTACCGTTTTTTTAACAATCATGATAGGATCACTGTTAAATAATTTTTTTTCTATAACCAGTGTAAATCACTCCAGAGTAAAAATAAATTGTGAACCTTAACTGCTGTAGAACAAATTTACTGAAAATCTTGTTAATGCTTTTTCTATTAACTAGAAAGTCAGAATCTATCTTTGATGCATTTCTCAATTTAAACAATGAGTCTAAAATTTATAGATTTGATTACCTGCACAGCACTACTCTACTATTTTATAATTTAAATAAGCTAGATTTATTTATTTACACATATTTATAAATTTAAATTATTCTTTTTTTCAGGGCAAAGAGAATGTCAATTAAAAGAGTTATCAATACAGCTGTTACCAGTACGACTGTTAATAATGTACGTCTGTTTATGACAACAACAAAACTGAATCACAGTCCTAATTTAAAAAAAAAACAAGCACCTCAATTGGACCAAAAAAAGTTACAGAGACAAAAGGAACTTGAAGAGGCCAAATTGAGGAAGCAAATTATCACTCCACCAATAGATCCTGATTCAGTACCTCATCCATTTTGGTTTAATGCAGATCGACAGCGTCAAAGTGCTATATTATCTGAGAAGGAACTGGAAGAAAGAGATTTAATTTTGAAAGATTGGTCACGATTGCAAATGAATAATCACATGGCATGCTTACAAAGTATAAAAATAAAAGTGAAATGTCGCACCAATGCTTTGCAAGAACTTAAAAAAGAGTCTGAGTTTTTATATAACCAAGCAATTTTAGTGGACAGACAAATGTTTCCGTTAACTTTAGTTGGGCCAGTTGAAACACCTCCACTAGATGGTTATGAAGCTCCTGACTTTGTTACAGAAAAAAAGTAGTTAATATTTTTTTATTGTTCAACTTTTTAATCTTTATGTGATTCAAGAACCTTTCCTTTATTCTATAGTGATAAATTTTATTTACTTGTTACTTTAAAATACCTGAATATATGTATATCACACGTTTTCTAAAACAAACTATTCATACATCATACTATTATTTGTTGGAATTTTTTCCATCATTCATCTTAATTTAAAATTTATAGTTATAAAAATTATTACATTTATTTTCTTAAGACGAAAATTTTAATTTGGTCAATAAAATTTAATTTTATTCACTAAACTAATTACTTTTATAATAATATGAGCAAGTTTAAAAAATAAACATAAATGGTTCAGTAATAATGCACAATGGGACAGATGTTAGTGAAATCTATTATATATCTATGAAAAGGTGTTTCGTCTATTGTATCACGTCCTAACCAACTGAAATATTTTTCTAACAGTGTAGTACTTTCAGTGTGACAAATTTATACTAGATATATTATTCTGTTAATTTCAAAATTAACAAACAATAATAAATTATAATATATATTAAATTTTGATTAGCTGTGCCTATAAAATGAATTATTGATTACATTAACTCTAAGGATATCGTGTCATTAGTTTATTAGAAGAAAATCTTGTGGGAAATGGGCTAGGGCCTAGCTAACAGTAAAAAAATATTTAAAAAGTTAAAATTAGAAAGAAATTTTAAGCGGAAAAAGAATTTTAAGAGTAAAATTCTTTTTCTGCTTTGTGAGGCATAGTGTTACGGTTGATAGTAAAATCTGATTAGTAAATAGTTGAAGATAAATTGTCTTTAGAGATAAAAAGCTAGCCGCAATTGTATAAATGCAATCTTTAATATATCACTAGCTTTGAAGTTACGTTATGTAGCTTTCCAGATAATGATGATATCAGACGCTGAGACTACAAAAATGATGCTACTAAACTTCATGAACAGCTTAAACTCATCAAGTTTAATAGAAATAAGTTTTCTCAGCAAGAATGATTATCTCTCTTGAGCGGACCAATAACTTCAGGTAACATTGGCTACTTGTTAGTTAGATAACCAAATTATTTTCCCCAGAAACAAAAATTTCTTGTTTTTTATTGTATATTGAAGTAATTTGTTTGTATTCTTTAAAGTACACAAACACAAGAATTGAATTACAAAAAGGTAATTTAATTCTTCCTCTTCATTACGTCTTCTTTGATTATTGTTTACTACTAACCTTTCATTGAAACCATATATATACAATCAATTGCTAAATTAGCGTCTGCTAAAGTTGCTTCTCTTTATCGTACTCGGCATTTTCTCTCCTGATTCCATTCTCTACCTCTACAAATCTCTTTTTCGTCCCTGTATGGACTACTGTTATCATATTTAGGCTGGTTCTTTTAATAATGCTCTTTCTGTTCTGGATAAGGCCGATTGTAAACGTAGTTGGACCCGCAAATCTGCTAAACTTGAGCCTCTTTACCATCGTCGTAAGTCTCTTTCTCTTTTCTAGAAATACTGTAATGGTCGGTGCTCAAATAAGCTATCATCTTTAGTTCCATCAACTAAAACTCATTCTTGCTTAACTCGTCATTCAGCAAAGTCTCATTCTTTTACTGTATCTATCCCTGCATGCTCTAAAATGTTCTCTAAACTGCATGTTCGTCTTCAACCCTTTAGATCTCTCTCCCTTCTTCATATTTTTCCGACTCATACAACCTTCAACTTTTTAAGTTTTCTGTCAACCGATTCTTTGCTCTATAACTCTATTCTTTTTTCTAGTAACTCCCAGCCTAATAGTGGTTGCTTGCAGTTTTGTTAAAAGTGAATCAAAATAAAATTAAAAAAAAAAGTCTTAACGTCTCATAATACTTTTTTGCTTGCAATAAGGAAGACCAGAGCTCATTGCAACATAATGTGTACTAAAATACACCAAAAGCTTTCCAAAAAAAAAAACATTTAAATGAAGTCATATTAACTTCAAAACGAAGGGTACATAATTTTTTTATTTTGAATAGAATTTTTTAATTTCATTGAAGGTTATAATTATAACCTCTAATTAAATTAAAAAAAAAAAATTCTGTAACAAAATCTAAAAAAATTTAATTTTAAAATAGAATTTTTTTAGATTTTGCATCCTTTATATCAAAATATAAGTTTTTTGAGTAAGAAAATTGATTTCTGAAACTTTGATTAAATTTTCTAACTTTATTTAACCATTCAAACAGGCATGCTACCCAGCTAACACACATACGTTGGTAAAACGTAAGAACAATTTTGCGAGTTGCGAGTTGACCAACGCATTCCGGTGGAATTGTACTCGCAGGTATGCACAAGTACTGAAGCGCTAAAGTATTATAATTATATCTTTCATTTTTCACGTTTTAAAAGAGTTTTGTCCGAGAAACAAATTAAAAAACAAGTTGGAGAAGTTCTGATTTACGTAAAGGAAAACATTATTCATAGAAAGATGCATCGACAACTACCCGAATTAAGTAAAACTATTTATTAATTAAATTATCTATTAAATAAATTAGTTGAGTAAAATTATTTTATGGATTTTATTAATTGTTATACCATAAATATTTTTTAAAATAATTTTTTGACAATTATTGTATTGACTGTCATAGATATTGCCTGGCGTTCTATCACAAAAACATTTTTTTTTTTTTTTTTTTTTTTTTTGTAGTTGTTTTAGGTGCTCCCAATATGAAACAGTGGTGTCACTGGAGAAGAAGGGGGGGGGACACTAGCCGCACCGGGTGATACCATCACAATCTGACACAGAGAGATGACACAAAAATAAAATAAAAATGCAAATTGGACAGAACTGCTCATACTTGTATTAATTCAATTTTGCGTTTGGTCTAACCAATAGTTTTGATTTTTCGATGTTCCTTATTAATATTTCTGCTATTTCTTCAAGATTGTATTTTGTATGTCCCAACTTTTCGTAAATGACCCTTTTTTTTTTTAAAGAAAATCGAAACCTATGTTATCGGCCCTGTTAGTGAAAGCCAGTGATTTGAAAAAATAATAATAAAAGTAGATTGAAGTCATAGTATTATATTAAAACAATGGGGTAGGTTTTTTTGTGTGTGTGTACCCAAAAGCATTTTTATATAGACAGCATACAAAAAAAAAAAAAAGGATAACACAAACAAAGTACTAAAACAATGAGGCAGGTTTTTTTTTGTGTGTGTGTGCTCAAAAGCACTTTTATATAGACAGCATACAAAAAAAAAAAAAGGATAACACAAACAAATTAAATATAAATATAACTTTACAATATAAATTGAGTTAAACAATAATTAAAACTTTTAAAGTGTAAAGTGGTCCTATATATATATATATATATATATATATATATATATATATATATATATATATATATATATATATATATATATATATATATATATATATATATATATATATATATATATATATATATATATATATATATATATATATATATATATATAAACAAGTATATACAAATACACAAACTATAAGAATAATGTTTATTAAAAAACGATAAAAAACAAAACAATCTTTTGTTAGATGCTTGACTTCTTCATTATGTTGTAATTCGTTCAATGTTTCTTGCAGCAAAAGCAATATTTTTACAAAATCTTACTGTTTACAAAATAAATTGCTTTAAAACATTATATTAGAATAAAAAACAGATACACAAAATTACATTTACATTAAAAATACGTACTTTTTAAATAAAAAATAAGAGTATACTGATAAAGTCTATAATATATAATAAACTTTCAAAACTTTGACAATTTAAAAAATATTCATTAGCATTTCTTTGTTTCAAAAATATGCGTTTTATCGTATTTTAGATATTTCAACAAAAAATATAAAATAATAGAGACCCACAATTGAAAAATTTAAATTATAATTCATAATTTTTAAAAATCAACCTGAGTCATGGATTAGCGCATCTAAAAAAAAATAGTGACTATTGGCACGGCCGCCGTGTACAACTTCATAAAAAGACTATTAGCACGGCTAATGTCTTTTAATGAATAGACACAAAAAAAATAAATAGTCATATAAACAGTTAAGAAAAGGTGTTGGCACGGTCAAATTGGCAAAATTTGAAATAGACCCCTTTTCGTTGTTTTGATTTTTCGAAACAAATGCGCATGCGCGCGTCTTTGGCAGTCAAAACAAATCGATTTTAAAGCTAAACAGTAAATATTAATTAGCGTCTTTTAGTTAGGAGTTAAAGGTTTAATTTATACAAAGTTTTTTTAATAATCATTTATATTTATAAAATAATATGCCTGACGTGTGTTGTGCCTATGGATGTACAAATAGAAGAACATTAGCTAATGCTCATTTGAGCTTTTATCGAATACCAACTAATAAATCTGAATCTGGTGCTAACAGAAGAGACAAATGGGTTGCAGCAATTAAAAGAGAAAAATGGAACGTAAAACAAATAAATAATGCTCGTTTGTGTAATGCTCATTTTATTACAGGTAAGATTTTTAGTTTTCCATTCAGTTTTTTTGTGTTCTAATAGTTTTCATGTATTTGTTATACTTAAATTAAAATAATAAAAAATAAACTCTTAAAACTTTAAGTATTCTTACTTATGTATTAACTGATAATCATCTTTTTTTAGGGAAAAAATCTGATGATCCCTGTCATATTGATTATGTTCCAACTGTATTTTCTTTTAAAAAGACACATGGAAAACAAATTAAAGCTTCTTTAGAACGATATGAGCGATCAAAAAAAAGGCAGCGAACTCTTTCTAGTAATGAGTCTATATTATTACCGATTCACGAGGTTGGATCATTTAACGAGACAAAAATTAATGAGTTGGTTGAAGGGGACTGTTTAAATTGTCCTTCAGAAAACGAGATAACCCAAAGAGCTGTTGAAATAGGTAAAAAAAGAACAAAAAATTTGTAAATTAAATTTATCTTAATTGGTGTCACTGATATATAACTTATGTGTTGATTAACTTTTAAACTAATTGTTTAAAAAAAAATTTTTTTTTGAAGAATTTATTAGTAGTATTATTTGCATATTAGTATAAAATATTATTAGTATTGTAAAATATAAGCATAAAGTATTATTTGCATATTTTTAATTTTAGGCACACAAACTGAAGTATTTACAAAAAGTATTTAACTGAAGTATGTAACAAAAGAAAAACAACTAAAACGAACTTTGAGAAAAAAGATATTTGAAATACAAAAATTGAAGCAAAAGTTACAAATATGTCAACGACAATTAAAGTTTACAAAGGAGAAGATAATTGATTATATTAATATTAAAGAAAAAGCATTAAACTTTTTAACTGGAATTACCAAACCAGCTTTTTTTGAATGGATTTTGCAAGAAGTTAAATCTTGTGTCAAGCCTATTGTTAAAACAATGTCCTTAGAAAACCATTTATTAATTGTATTAATGAAGTTAAGACTTGGACATAAAAATAAAGATTTAGCTTTGAGATTTAACATTAGTAAAGGAGTCATATCAAAAATATTTCGCTTATGGATAAAACAATTAGCCAATGTATTGTGTAATTTAATTGTGTGGCCTGAACGAGCTGCTATAAGAGCAAACTTGCCATGTTGTTTTACAAACTTTAAAAATTGTGTATGTATAATAGACTGCACTGAAATATTTATAGAAAGGCCACATAACTTAACAGCTAGGGCTCAAACCTACTCTACCTATAAATCACGTAATACCATTAAATACTTAATTGGAATAACACCAGCTGGTGCTGTAAGTTTTTTATCATCTGGATGGGGTGGTCGAGCATCAGACAAACTGATCACAATTGAGTCAGGTTTTTTAGATAAAGTTTGTTACGGAGATTGTATTTTAGCTGATAGAGGATTTTTAGTGGAAGAAGAATTAGCAACAAGAGGAGCTGTTTTAATAATACCAGCATTTACAAAAAGTAAAAGTCAAATGGCTGTAAAAGACATTGATTTATCACGTCAAATTGCTCGTGTGAGAATCCATATAGAAAGAGTTATTGGGCGTTTAAAAAAATACCAACTATTAACATCAACTATACCTGTAAGCCAGGTTGATTTACTTGATAGTATAATGATTTCAGTAGGTGGACTGTAATAAAATATTACATCCGCCTAAAATATCACATCCCCCATTGAAAAAACGAAAGCGAGATTGCTCGTTCAAGTCATTGCACTTAGAAGTGTATCAAATACGTCCGAAACATTCAATTATAAACAATATAATTAAAACGCAACGAGATTCATAAAAACGTGTTTCTACTAATATACTATAAATGAAATTAGCATAAAATGGTAATATATTTTAAATTCTTATTTATAAAATTTCGATCGTAATATATTGTGTGACAATATTATAGAAAAAGATTACACATGAGGGATATAATACTTTAGGTAAAAAAAATAACAATCGTTTGCAATATTTTAGAAGCCTGCATAGGGGGAGGTGATATTTTAAGCAAGAATTTCAGTTTCTTTTTGTGACATATACAGAAATAACAACTGGTGGATGTTATACTCTATATACCAAATACTTATTGTTTAAAATACTTTATAAATTACTTAGGGGGATGTAATACTTTAGAAGTAGACATCCGGGGGATGTAATATTTTAAAGTAAGAATTTCAGTTTCTTTTTCTGACATATACAGTGAATAAACCGAAGGGATGTGATATTCTAGATATCAAATACTAATCGTTTGAAATATTGTATGAATTACTTAGGGGGATGAAATATTTTAAAGGTAAACATAGAGGGAATGTGATATTTTAAGTAAGAATTTCAGTTTCTTTTTGTGGTACATACAGAATTTACAAGTGATGATTCTTATATTTTAAACACTAAATACTAACCGTTTGAAATGTTGTATGAATTACTTAGGGGGATGTAATATTTTAGAGATAAACATAGGGGGGATGTGATATTTTAAGCAAGAATTAAAGTTTCTTTTTGTGACAGAAATAACAAGTGGTGGATGTTATACTCTATATACCAAATACTTATTGTTTAAAATACTTTATAAATTACTTAGGGGGATGTAATACTTTAAAAGTAGACATCCGGGGGATGTTATATTTTAAAGTAAAAATTTCAGTTTCTTTTTCTGATATATACAGTGAATAAACCGAAGGGATGTGATTTTCTAGATATCAAATACTAATCGTTTGAAATATTGTATGAATTACTTAGGGGGATGTAATATTTTAGAGATAAACATAGGGGGGATGTGATATTTTAAGCAAGAATTAAAGTTTCTTTTTGTGACATATACAGTGAATTAACCAAGGAGATGTGATATTCTAGATACCAATTACTAATTGTTTGAAATATTGTATGAATTACTTAGGGGGATGTAATATTTTAAAGGTAAACATAGAGGGGATGTGATATTTTAAATAGCAAATATTAATCGTTCAAATTGTTGTATGAACTACTTTGGGGGATGTAATATTTTAAAGGTAAACTTAAAGGGGATGTAATATTTTAGTAAGAATTTCAGTTTCTTTTTGTGGTACATACAGAACTTACTAGTGATGGATGTGATATTCTAGGTATCAAATACCAATCGTTTGAAATATTGTATGAATTATTTAGGGGGATTTAATATTTTAGAAGTATACATTAGGGGGGATGTGATATTTAAAGTAAGAATTTCAGTTTTTTTTGTGACATATACATAGAATCTACAGGGGGATGTGATATTCTAGGTATCAAATACTAATCAATTGAAATATTGTATGAATTACTTAGGGGGATGTAATATTTTAAAGGTAAACATAGAAGGGATGTGATAATTTAAAAAGCAAATATTAATTGTTTGAAATATTGTATGAATTACTTAGGGGGATGTAATATTTTATAGGTAAACTTGAAGGGGATGTAATATTTTCAGTAAGAATTTAAGTTTCTTTTTGCGGTACATACAGAACTTACAAGTGATGAATGTAATATTGTAGGTACCAAATACTAATCGTTTAAAATATTTTGTAACTTACTTAGGGGGATTTAATATTTTAAAAGTAAACATAGAGGGGATGCGATGTTTTAAGTAAGAATTCCAGTTTCTTTTTGTGACATATGCAGAGACAGGGGAGATGTGATATTTTAAGTACCAAATATAAATTGCTTGAAATATTGTAGAAAAATTCTTATGAGGATCTATTATTTTAGAAGTATACATAGGGGGGAAGGGGGGGTTTTGATATTTTAAGTAAAAATTTTAGTTTCTTTTTATAGTACAAACATAATTTACAAGTGATGGATGTGATATTCAAGATAGCAATTACTACTCATTTGAAAAATTTTATGAATTACTTAGGGGATGTAATATTTTAATAATATACATAGGGATGTAATATTGGGGAATATTTAAGAAGCCTGCATAGGGAGATTTGGTATTTTAATTTAGAATTTTAGCTGTTATTTGCAAAATGTGCAGAGATTACCCAAACAGTCTTTTTTCATTTTTTTTTAGATTTAATTGAACTAACAAATTAAAAATGTATTATTGTTCAATCAATTCATATGTATTGCTTCCGACAAGTTTAAGTATTATAACCATACAAGAAGTCACTGAAACTAGGAAAAAAAAAATTTCACCTTTTTTTATCTTTAAGGGCATAAACATTTAAATTGGTTTAATTTATGACAAAATTTTGAAGAAAAAGAAATGACTGCAATTTCAAAGTTTCATTTATTATTTAATATATATATTTAATACATTCGTATATAAATATGTGCACAACAAAATAAAGTTTCATTTCTAAAAACAATGCATGTCATACAGTACCATCGATTTAAATGCATATATCACATTTGATCTAAAAATAAATATTTAATGAACATTTTCCTATTTGAATATTTAAAGTATTTTTTTCTATTTGAAATTTTTATTAAAAAATAATTAAAATATATTTTATTACTCATTTAATTTTTTTTTGATTTTTTCTAGTTTTTGGACCAATTTCACTTCCACAAATGCGACACAAACTATTCTGCCAACTCTTCTAACCTATTGATTTAATTTTTCATTATTTTTTTTTGTCTTTTTTATAGATATCATTTAACATTGAAGTAGTATAAACATTTTCAGTCCTCTAAAGAATCTCACAAACCTCCTTTATCTCTCTTTCTGTATGCATTAACTTCTTCATGTGGAAAGACACGCACCAATACTTCTCCATTTGTATAACTTTCAGCAAACTAAAGTATGTAAGCTTAAAGTATGTATATATATATATATATATATATATATATATATATATATATATATATATATATATATATATATATATATATATATATATATTTATATCCATTACAGTTAAGACTCTTAAAGTTACCTTAAGGCAGAATACTCCAAATGTTATACCTTCAGCTTGTATGGCATGTGGTAATGTTAATATTTCAAACTTTTCTGAAACACCATATCTTTGTTGTAAGTAACAACTATTGTATAATTGTAAAAAAATTATAAAAGATGTAAATACAAATTTTGACATCGGAATATCTAATAATAATAATATCATTTGTCTGTTCTCCCATAGGGTCCATAGAGTTAATTGTTTTATTACCTGGTTTGATTATCTAAAACACAAGTGATTTTCAAAATCAGGTTCAAAGTTAGGTTCCCTGTAAAAAAATGGGGAATCTAACCTTTCACTAAAAGTTAAACTTTTTGTACTTGAAGAAATAAACTTTTTCAAAAAACAATTATACTATTTTACATACTGCAAGCGTCCAATGAAATTTTTCCACCATACAGCATATTAGCATATCTTGTTTAAAGCTCTTTCTATGAATATATATATATATATATATATATATGTGTGTGTGTGTGTGTGTGTGTGTTTGTGTGTGTGTGTGTGTGTGTGTGTGTGTGTGTGTGTGTGTGTGTGTGTGTATATATAAATACTCTAATTAAATTAATGAATCATTAATTTTTTTAGACAAAAGTTTTTGAATACCTTATGCCGTCTTCGTATTAAATCAGTTTTAATTGGCAATTCATCCAGTGAGAGTAGCCCAGCTGGCTACAGTACTTCGATTCGATTCTTCAAAGCATCAATAAATGGAATGGCATTCAATATATTGTTTTATATTTAGAATTCAAATTTTATTTAAATGAAGGCAAATTTAAAAAAAAAATGCAATAAGGGTTTTTTTGTACAAAAATTTTATTATGAAGTACATTAATTAATCATACTTTTTCTTTACTGTTTACTAATATTTTGAGAAAAATATTAACAACTTCGTCACTGAGACATTCGTTTAAAGTGTCTTGTAACGAATAATCGTATACCTTGCAGCCTCCTAAGACTTTTACAGGGTTTTTAATATGGATACATTTTATTATTCCGTGACCCGTGACCTATTTATGAAATACAATTTAAGCATAATTTCATCAAAAATTAAGCGTAAGTCTTTTATCTAATAAAATAACGACTATTACATTTATTAAAGATTACATGTTTTAAAACTCTTCATATATTTTTTCACCAGGTGGGATGTTTAAATTCGTGCGCCACTGAATAATACATACCTTCTGTATCGTCAACTATGTAGCTTTTTTTCGTATTTACTATCTCTAGAATATTAAAATGAATAAAAACAAATTAAAATAAAACGCTAACAGTTATATATGAATAGGTAAGTTTTAATACATACCTTCACTATCTTCAACTACAATGGTTTTTATTGGCTTCTCTGCCTTCTCTAAAAAACAAGCGATACTTTAAACCATAAAATAAAGTAATGATAAAATATATGTTTTAACTATAAATTCAAATAAGAAAACGAATATTTTACCCGAGTATAAATCAAAAAACAATAAAAATTGTTTTCATATTAGTATTACCCGTAGAAAGTTAAACAAATATTAGGTTTGAAGAAAAAATAAAATATTTTATAAATAGAATGAAAACTTTATTGAAGTAACAGATATACCAGTAACTTCTACAGAGTAACAATATTTAAAAAAAACATTTCTCTTCTCAGCGTTTTTTAAAAACGTTTAAAGACCTGTATTATGCGTAATAAAATTTAGACGTCTTTGAATAGCTAAGGGTTTCTGAGACAAAAGTCTGACAAAGATGTCTTTTAAACTAAAATAAGTGAACATAAACTCTCAACCTCAACTAATATGTTTAAAAATATAACGTAACTTCACTTTGTTTTAGCTCATTCTTTTTCTAGCGCTTATCTCTATTTAAACCTTTTAATTTTCCAAACTGATCAAAACGAGCTTCTTGATTCCCAATAAAGTTATGCCAAATATTGTGCGGCCGTGGCGCAGTGGTTAGATTGTATGCTTTATAAGCAGGAGATCCAGGTTCAAAACGAGCTTTGGACATATTTTGCGTCATGGTAAGGAAGGAGGCGTGAACTTCCTGGTTAAATGCACTTCCGCGGTGCTCTGTGAGAAGACCGTTAGGACTTCTTGGGGTACCTAAACAACAAATTTAAAAAAATATATATATATTATAAATAAGGACAATCTCTGTGCAAGTTTTTTTGTTATATTTATTATGGCTACACGTTGGTACTGGACTCGTTGAATAAAAATTTTATCAATCTTTATTATAATAATTAATATAGTCAATTTTGTTACCTAATTCAATCATTTAAACTAAGCCACCACGCTCTCGTCTTTTTTTTAAATTTGTTGAATTCAACGCTATAAATCTGTCTTTATAGGGATGATTGTTATTTGTTAGTGAAATCTTCTTCGAACAATCCTGCACTTTAGCATTAGCTAATAGCATAAATACTATTGAGCAAGTATTATTTTTCCACGCTATCTTAGCGTGGAAAAATAATACTTGCTCAATAGTATTTTTTTTCAAAATTTTTATTTTTACAAAAATGTTGTGTTAACATTTGATGGAATATATATATATATATATATATATATATATATATATATATATATATATATATATATATATATATATATATATATATATATATATATATATATATATATATACAACAAACCGTTTATGTACTTTGTCTTTTCCATCTTTTACAGTACATTATTCTTTATCATTTTAGTTCAGTATGATATTGGATGATTCTAATACATGAAATACATGACTTTATATTTTATTGTAATAAATATAAGTTAATTTTTTAACTGCCACTTTTAACAATTTGTATAATTTTAATAATTGTGAACTGGACAAATTATTATTAAGTTGCCTCAACAGGCTCAATAACCACATTATATTTCCATACCAAACCACCCAAAGTAACGTTAATATTTAAAAATAGTTCTTTAAAAATGTTCTTTTTTTAAGGAAAGAAGCTTCTATTATTCAAAAAAAGTATCTGAAGAAATTATAACCTTCCCGAAACCTTACGCCTCAGCAACCATAGGTGGACGTAATAAAGAAAAATTTTTAATTATGGAACAGAATGAAAAAAGACAAACCGTAATTATTTATTTTCCTTCAAAACGTTTTGTACATTAAAACTAGTAAAATATTTATGTGGTAAGATATGAAAACATTTAGAATAAAAAATTATTGTAATTGATTTCGTTTATTTTAAATCTTATGAAAACTTTAATTCCACCAAAGTTTTATATATGACTTCAGTGAACAATATCGTATGTTTGAATTGTTAGCTCAATCGTATCTAAATAAAATAAAATATTAAATTAAAACTTTAAAAAGCTAAAAAACACTATAAATATTAAAGTTTCTTGATTTTATTAAAGGCTCTTTAATTTTTTTATTTATTTTTTAATTAAATATAAAAATTTATTTTAAAGATCTCCCCATCAGAGGAGGACCCAAGAAACAAAAAAACAGCTAACAATATTTGAGATACATATCTTACTTAAATTACACATCCACCCTATGCAGGCGTCTAAAATATTACATCCCCCGAAGTAATTCTTAACAATATTTCAAACGATTAGTATTTTGTGTTTTAAATATCAGGTTCCTCACTTGTAAATTCTGTATGTATCACATAAAGAAACTGAAACTTTTACATAAAATATCACCCCCCCCCCCTCTATGTATATTTTTAAAATAAGTAATTCTTTACAATACTTCATTAGGTATCAAAAACTAATCAACGATTAGTATTTGATACCTAGAATATCACATTCCCCCTATTTATTCTCTATATATGTCACAAAAAGAAACTGAAATTCTTACTTAAATTACACATCCACCATATTCAGGCGTCTAAAATATTACATCCCCCTAAGTAATTCTTAAAATAATTCAAACAATTAGTATTTGGTATAACAACCATCACTTGTAATTTCTGTATAAATAACATAAAAAAACTGAAATTCTTTCTCAAAATATCACATCCTCACTATGTATACTTCTAAAATATTACATCTCCCAAAGTACTTTACAATATTACAATATTTCATTTGTGAGTTCTGTATGTACCACAAAAAGAAACTTAATTTCTTATAATATCACATCCCCTCCATGTTTATCTTTAAAATATTACATCCCCCTAAGGATTTCATACAATATTTCAAACTATTAGTATTTGGTATCTAGAATATCACATATCCTCGGTTTATTCTCTGTATATGTCACAAAAAGATAAAATATTTTAAACAATTAGTATTTGGTACCTAGAATATCACATCCGTCACATGTAAGTTCTGTATGTATCACTTAAAGAAACTAAAATTATTTCTTAAAATATCACATCCCCCTTATGCATACTTCCAAAATATTACATCCTCCTAAGTATTTCTTTACAATATTTCAAACAATTAGTATTTGGGGTTTAAAATATCACATTTCCCCTGTGGAGACTCTGTATAAGTCACAAAAAGAAACTGAAGTTTTTATTTAAAATATCACATCCCCTCTATGTTTACCTTTAAAATATTAAATCCCATCAGTAATTTACAAAATATTTTAAACGATTAATATTTGGTATCTTGAACATCACATGAATCACTTGTAAGTTCTGTATGTACCACAAAAAGAAACTTAAATTCCTACATAAAATATTACATTCCTTCTATGTTTACCTTTAAAATATTACATCTCCCTAAGTAATTCAAACAATATTTAAAACAAATAATATTTGGTATTTAAAATATCACATTCCCTCCATGTTTACTTTTAAAATATTACATCCCCCTAAGTAATTCATGCAATATTTCAAACGACTAGTATTTGGTATATAGAATATCACATCCCCTTAGTTTATTCACTGTATATGTCACAAAAAGAAACTGAAATTCTTACTTAAAATATCACATACCCCTTATGTATACTTTTAAAATATTACATCCCCCAAAGTAAATCTTTACAATATTTCAATTTATTAGTATTTATTACCTAGAATATCGCATCCCCCTGTTCATTCTCTGTATATGCCACACAAAAAAACTGAAATTCTTACTTAAAATATCACATCCCCCCTAATGTAGACTTCTAAAATATAACATCCCCCTAAATAATTCATACAATATTTCAAATGATTGGTATTTGATACCTAGAATATCGCATCCATCACTTGTAAGTTCTGTATGTACCACGAAAAGAAACTGAAGTTCTTACTTAAAATATCACATCCCCCCTATGTATACTTTTAAAATATTACATTCCCCTAAGTAATTTATACAATATTTCAAACGATTGGTATTTGGTACCTGAATATCACATCCATCACTAGTAAGTTCTGTATGTACCACAAAAAGAAACTGAAATTCTTACTAAAATATTACATCCCCTCTAAGTTTACCTTTAAAATATTACATCCCCCAAAGTAGTTCATACAACAATTTGAACGATTAATATTTGCTATTTAAAATATCACATCCCCTCTATGTTTACCTTTAAAATATTACATCCCCCTAAGTAATTCATACAATATTTCAAACAATTAGTAATTGGTATCTAGAATATCACATCTCCTTGGTTAATTCACTGTATATGTCATAAAAAGAAACTTTAATTCTTGCTTAAAATATCACATCCCCCCTATGTTTATCTCTAAAATATTACATCCCCCTAAGTAATTCATACAACATTTCAAACGGTTAGTATTTAGTGTTTAAAATATAAGAATCATCACTTGTAAATTCTGTATGTACCACAAAAAGAAACTGAAATTCTTACTTAAAATATCACATTCCCTCTATGTTTACCTTTAAAATATTTCATCCCCCTAAGTAATTCATACAATATTTCAAACGATTAGTATTTGATATCTAGAATATCACATCCCTTCGGTTTATTCACTGTATATGTCAGAAAAAGAAACTGAAATTCTTACTTTAAAATATTACATCCCCCGGATGTCTACTTCTAAAGTATTACATCCCCCTAAGTAATTTATAAAGTATTTTAAACAATAAGTATTTGGTATATAGAGTATAACATCCACCAGTTGTTATTTCTGTATATGTCACAAAAAGAAACTGAAATTCTTGCTTAAAATATCACCTCCCCCTATGCAGGCTTCTAAAATATTGCAAACGATTGTTATTTTTTTTACCTAAAGTATTATATCCCTCATGTGTAATCTTTTTCTATAATATTGTCACACAATATATTACGATCGAAATTTTATAAATAAGAATTTAAAATATATTACCATTTTATGCTAATTTCATTTATAGTATATTAGTAGAAACACGTTTTTATGAATCTCGTTGCGTTTTAATTATATTGTTTATAATTGAATGTTTCGGACGTATTTGATACACTTCTAAGTGCAATGACTTGAACGAGCAATCTCGCTTTCGTTTTTTCAATGGGGGATGTGATATTTTAGGCGGATGTAATATTTTATTACAGGACTTATAAATTTAAATAAAAGTGTAGTACAGAAATAAAAAATGTCTAATAATAAATTTTTATTTTCAAACTAAATAGTACAAAATATTATTTTAAACAATTTGGACAAATCCAAATTCCTTTAGGAGCACGAGTTACATTAACACATGAGTAGTGAAACCATTCAATTTCACAACTAGGTTTATTACATGCAATCATTGGTTTAAAGCATGGGCGTTTACAAATGCAATGGTTTTCTGCTTGTTGCTATAATAAATATCATTTTCTCTTGTTACAGTTTCTGGTAAAATGTATGTAAAATAATATTTGTGTAATGCCTGCTTTATCT